AATGAAACCATTATCCTACATAATTGTACACCTTACAGTGCAATACAATTGAGAATTATCACTTGTGGACATGGTTATTGGTTAAGACCACTTGTGATCATTAGGTATCATCATTAAATTTGAATTTAAATAAACAACATTTGTACTACATTTAAAATAAACCAAGAACATGCATATTGCTACTTTTTGTGACCAATTGTAACTTTTTCATGACAGCACTGATGACAATCTTATCAACAAGCTACAGCCACTTTAATTCAAAGAACAAACAGTACAGACAGATGCAGTGGCAGCAGGGCACTGCAGATTTTCATTTTGGTCCCATTCTTTCTGCAACGCCAGTAGGGCTAATGCTAAAATGCCAAACTCTATGGGGGGCACTGTACCCTGATGCCACCCCCCCCCCTGTTCTGCCGCCTATGGACAGATGTTAGGAAATCAAACCTGGAAGCCAAATAGGTCAATTTTGTTAAAAATAATCCAGCAATCCACTTCTGCCAGGTATGAAATCCCAATCCAGAATGTTCATATGAGCTATTAGTATGTGCAACACAATTTCGATTTAGTAAGAATAGCAACCAACCTCTAATACTTTCCTAATAAAATTACAAGTTCAAAAATGGCATCAACTTCTTCAGATTACCTACTTTTGGCCACTTTTGGCATCCTGCCAGCTGCCACGTGTGGTGCCATGCTGTGCTTTTGTTATGAGAGAGCCTCCCAAAAAAAGACAAACGAAATTCACAGCTCACGTTTTGGTAATATGGTTTTATTACGTCATTATCGTTTGACCAATGAAAAATCTTAATTTGACCAAGACCGTAATGATTCCAAAAGATTCCCCGTAATAGGCCCTCTAAACTAATGACGTAAGATATTGTTATTCTTTTGAAAAGTGAATAAAATTAAGATGCAAGGCGCACACCGCTCAGGGCCATATAATACCGTTTCAGCTTACGTTTACGTCATTAAATTCAACGCTACAAAGATGATATTCACAAACAATCGTATCGTAAAATCATGTGAGGCAGAAAAATGAACATTCTTTAAAAAAAGCTCCAGACTTTTGAGTTTCCAGTTTGATTTTTTATTTATTTTCATTATACTCGAAGGTAGAACGCCTAGCTCATTTGTTATTTGAAATGACGTCACGAGTTCAATTTAGATACTGAATAATCATTTTACGGTAAATATCCAAGGCCATTACAATTGATATTTCGCTTCCCATGGACGACCTTCCCATCGCTTCCGCAGGCTGTTGAATATTTTTATACTTTTGTTTATATATCAGTTTATTTTATCAAATATTTCTTTCAATAGATTGAAATACCTTTACCTAACCAAGCCACATGTGTCAGTATCATCTTTTATTGTTTATCAATCAATTGTGGTAGCTGGAAACTGGAAAGCCTCATGGTTGTCTAATGCAAGATCAATGAGATTGTCTTATCAATATCATTATGTAGATGCTAACATGAATTGTGATGTGGTAGGTACCTAGTTATGTATTGTTCATTACTCATTACTTTGAATTACCTCTATGTTAATTGTTAATGCAAACTTTTTCTGTTGGTATGTGATCTGTGAACAATCTTCATGTCACTCAATTCTCTCAAGTTGTGACCGTCATGAGCCTCCTTTATTTTGTATTCTGTATAATGTAACTGGATGCCTTTACTAATATGGTCTTTGTATAAGATTGTTTGTTTCTAACCATACTTTGGTATTCATAACTTCTTATGAAAGAAAGTTGTTAACATTTTGAGCACCTATGTATGAGCTATGATCCCAACGGATCTCACGACAAAATTGGGGAGCCAGATCTATGATCCGAGTGGATCTAGCGACAAAATTGAAGGGTCAGATCTATGATCCCAGTAGATCTCTCGACAAAATTGAGGGGTTGGATCTATGATCTGAATGGATCTCGGATCGGGATCCATGGGATCGGATCTCAGATCCATTTTTCCGGATCCAAGCACATGTCTGAAAAGTAGGTCAAATGTTGACCTAGGACCAAAAAATATACCACCAATCGCGAGATCTCGTTGAGAGCAATCCGTTGGTTTTTTCCGCTAAGCTCTACGACCTTCCGTTTCGAAACGCCAGGGGGGGGGGTCGTAACAACACCCCCCCTGGTCGTTCGTGTTATGAGAAATGGCCTGGTCGTGCGAGGGATAATATTACAGAATAGATGTAGATACACACTGATAACACAATCAAGTTCTACCTCAAAATACCTGTAAAACATTAATAGTAACATAAGCATAAACATAATTTTGCATTTTATCATAAGTAGGAACCAGACTGGAAAACACGTTATGCCGAATATGTCCGGTGTAGTGGCGGGATTGCGCCGAAAATTTCAGCGCACGTCCGGCGTAACTTCGCATGCGCCGAATTCAGCGCATGGCGGCAGCTGAATATACGGCGCAGGCCGGCCGCATAATTTTTTGTCGAAAGCCCTGTCGCCGAACTTGGTCGGCACGCTGGTCAATCTAGCAGCAGATTCCCACTGCGGGCGGCTCTGGACTTCGGGAGAGGTTTCGGGACGATACGTCCCCGCCCCGGTTATCGCGTGCTCGAACTGACGACCCGCCCCGAGTTTGCTCAGCGGAGGAGCGGCAGCCCAGGTGAGGCCTTAAAACCCTCGCCGGCCGAGGGGGGGGGGGGCGGGTGCCGCCCCCCCCCATAGGGTTTTTTCGCGATAGCTCCGAACACGCTGGCGATAGAGAGCTGAAACTTGGCATACCTGACCTTTGATCCAAGCCGGATCTTTTGACACCAACCGCATTTTTGGGTCAGGTCAGGTCACTGACCTATGACGTCATAAGTGAACCTCTGCACGGTCTTCAGATGTCGCAACTTCGCAACGCCCTCACTGCCAGAGGAGATGTCACAGGGAAATGAAACTTGCAGGATCTAGTATCCATTATGAGTCCCACAACTTGTATATCTCGGATTTTTCCTAAAGGTCATATGAGGTCAGGTCATTTTCGTGACCTCACCATTATAAGTCAATGGGGAAAAATGAAAACTGCTATTCTGGCGCCGGGAACGATCTCCAACTATCTCAAGCACACAGAATCGTGATTTGATGCACTCCTTGCAAGGTTAGATGCGTCACTTTTGCAATGTTGACCTTGCGTGACGTCATTTATGACGTCATCAAGGTCATATTAGTTTTTCGTCAATAACTCTTGGTCAAATTAAGCTAGCGAGTCGGGAAAGCCACCAATGGACTCAGGAAGACCTGCCGAATCGAATGATATGCGACATGACCTCTTTCGACCAACTTCGTGACCTGGGGGTGCTGACCTGACCTTGACCTGAGGTCAACACCCCAAGTTGACCTGACCCGGACAAAAAGTATATCATTCGACGCGCCTGAGCGAGACGAACACGATGCTGCCAAAATCGGCGCTCTGCGGCCGTTTTTTGCGAAGTTATTCACCAAAAACTGAACCGTACCTTGGGGCACTTGACCTGACCTCAGAGGTCACCGGTTGACCTAGGACCTTAAAATCGGGTACCAATCTCTGCGTCTCGTAACGGCGCACACGCTCGTTTTTTCCGCGACGCGCTAGCTCCACCAGGGGCGAAACGGCGAGGGGGGGGTCGTACCCGCCCCCCCCCCCTCGGCCGGCGCGTATGTAGAAAACCAATAGGTCCGGCGAGGGTTAAGGTATGGAAGACCTTGTTGAACATCGCCGAGCATACTGCAGTTGGTTCCGGGCTCCTACCCACTGCAGTATCGAGGGGAATTAGAGTGCCGCCGCCCTGCCCTCAAACGCTGACCAGGGTGGTTCTCTGTGCGGCCTCGCATCAGTGGCGCGACAACTGGTCCGAGTCACTATTCAAGCCACTCCTCGGGAGCACGCCGCCGCTCCCTATCCCCGCAGAGGACCGAGAGGACGCCATTTCGACTTTCGGTGCACCAGATGAGGGCGGGGCGGGCCGCTGGGGCCGCCCGCTCCAGTACGTGCACCGAATCGGCTGTCTCCACTCCGCAGTCCGCGGCGTGCCAGCAGTGCCCAGACAAGCGGTGCCCCGCGGCGCTCGCGCCGCCGTGCTGAGAGGAGGTTGATGTGCCGGAGCACGTGCTGCTCCGCTGCCCGGCCTTCGCTGGCTCCCGCTAGCTTCGAAAACACCGCTCCGTCGATTTTTGGCCCCAAAACTTCCAGCTCCGGCCTTGTTTCACGGCATGACGCTATAGTGCACTAAGCATATTGAGGTATTGGATTTGTGGAAATAAACAAAAAATATTCAGATGTTCAAACATTGAAATTAGTAGAGCAGACGTCACATGAAGGTTTTCCAACCAAGGAGAGGCACCATACCAAGAGGTGTTTCTTTCTAGGAAAACCTGAACAAACCTAACATAAACTGACCTAACCCAACCTACAACCTAAAAACCTACAAAGTACACAGGTACCTTACAAACCTACCCTACAACCTAAAAACCTACAGTGCCTCACCTCAGTTGGAAAACCTTTGATGACGTCTGCTCTACTAATGCCCAAACATTGGAGGGCGTCCAAGGCCCCAGAATGCTCTGTCTGGTTGATGCAGCCTTGATCGGTAGATGTGCACATGTGCTTTCTATAAAAGTGGCTTAATTTTGGCACAAATAGGCTCCCAGTTTATGGCTCAAATCATGAGGAATTTTGGCGCAAAATTGCTTGCTCCGAATTTCGGCGCAATAGGGTCTCACAGGCGTCCGGCGTAGAGTATGGATGTTTCCCAGTCTGGGGTAGGAATGCTGTGAATGACAATATTGATTTTCAAGGATATGTCCTCGCTCTATTTTCATGCAATTTTGCAAAGTAATCAACTACCCATACTGAGGTAGAATGATTCCAACAATCACAGTATCGCTGCTCTTCAATATGCACAGCTGGGTATTGCAGTGTACTTGATGTTCTATATGCGCTATTTACCAAGATTCTTCAAGATACTACTTAATACCGTGGGAACGAACCCGCCTTGCCAAAACCTACCGATAGTCCCAGGCCAGGTGTATAGTCATACCGGATCATGGGATACCGACGGACAGCTCACTGAACTCTATTACCGGGGTTACATGAGCAAGTAAATGCGTATCAGGAACGGATTTTCCTATTCGCTCACCATTGTAGTCCGTTTGTAATGCGTATTAACTCTGCTCATGTAACCCCGAGCTATAATGTGGAATGCGCATCGGCCGCCAAATGGTGTCCAACGGTGCCGCCATGTTGCGCAGACCAGAAAGCGGCCGCCGCCTGTGCTGGGGAATAGGGAATTCGGGACCTCGATTTACGTTTGCGGTCGCTGCATCCGTTACGCTCAAGCTATGTGGACACGGAACCCGGCATCTTACGCAGAATTGAGTGGAGAACAAGATGAAATCCTAAAAAATCATCAGCTATTAGGAACTAATACGTTAAACCCTTATAAGTCAATGGGGAAATATGAAAATTGTTATTTTGGCGCCGAGAATGATCTGAAACTATCTCAAGCATATAAAATCATGATTTCATGCACTCTTTGCAAGGTTCTGTGCTTCATATTTGCATTGTTGCCCTTGCGTGACGTCATTTGTGACGTCACAAGGGTCACCATTTTTCTTCAATAACTCCCGATCAAATTGAGCTAGCGAGTCGGGAAAGCCACCAATGGACTCAGGAAGACCTGCCGAATCGAATGATATGCGACATGACCTCTTTCGACCAACTTCGTGACCTGGGGGTGCTGACCTGACCTTGACCTGAGGTCAACACCCTAAGTTGACCTGACCCGAACAAAAAGTATATCACTCGATGCGCCTGAGCTAGCTGAACACGATGATGCCAAAATCGCGGCTCTACGGCCATTTTTGGCGAAGTTATTTACCAAAAACCGAACCCCTGCCTTAGATCACTTGACCTGACCTCAGAGGTCACCGGTTGACCTGAGACCCTTACAGCGGGTTCCTACCAGTCACTCTGCATTATACTTTGCCGCATACGACCACTTTACCGCTTAATTCTAGTTTAATTAGCGGTGCATTAGCGAGGTGGGTTCAATCAACCCCCTCGGCCGGGGCAAATGTAGGTCAGGCGAGTGAATTTGAGGAATTCTGAAGATACGATCGTGTTCCCCACTCAATTCTACGTAAGATGCCGGGTTCCGTATCTACGTAACTTGAACGTAACGGATACGGCGGCCGCAAACGTAAATCGAGGTCCCGAATTCCCTATTCCTCAACACAGGCGGCAGCCGGTTTCTGGTCTGCGCAATATGGCCGCCACCGTTAGACACTACGGCCAATAGGGTTGAAGCGGCATTGCTCCCCTGTGGGACAGCTATAGTCATGTTTTGTCGTTCGCGCGCCATAGTTGCATTCATTTTTTACATTATTTTGCTGCAAAACATATTCTTCTAAGATGAAGCTAGCTAGTATCTACTATGCCCTGCACATTGCACACGGCCCATATGCGATTCGGTCGTATTTAATTTCGACTGCTGAGTGTCGACCAGGTCTGATTTCGTTATGAGGGATATGGCCGTACCTATATGCTATGAAGGATTACATATTTTTGTTAGTGACACATGACATCAGGCAGTAGTCGATCCGTTTAGGCATAGCGGTCATTCGGTGTTCCGTTTACACCGGGCCAAATCTGGCTTGTCGGAGTTGCCAAGGCAAAGTGGACTTCAGCCAACATCCCCCCGCTTATCTGTAAGAATCTTGCCCTGTAAGAATCTTGCCTCCGCTCGTGCCGACTGCCGCTACCATCCCGACGTCCAGCCGAGGTTAAAAGGGTTCAACCGACGTCTCTCCGCTGTGATCAGCACTCGCCAAGATTTGTTATGCTCAAAATCAAGGCCCTAAATCTCAAACTGATCAGAAAATAAAACCATCTTCGAACAACATGTTCCATGATAGGTGGGAGGTAAGACTGGCAAAAAAGGCCGAAATCAAGGTGTGAAAATCTCACAAGGTCCATAGCCAACGCAAGACGTTGAGAATTGGTCCATTTGGGTCATGACATGACCTGAAAAACAAGGTCATATCTCCGAAACCAAAAGCCACAGAAAATTGAAATTTTCAGTAGACATCAACATGGGTGCCGTGTAGGAGCGCCAAAAATATTAGTGAAGGATGTCACCTGACCCTTCTGAGAAAGTACAGGACCTTGCCGAAGTGGAGGGGGGGGGGAAATTTTGCCACCCCCTCCTGTTTTTTTTTTCTCGCAAATATCTCACGCCATTATCATCTAATTAACCCGCGCCCTGGTGGGGTCTGTTTATAACGCGACCTGGTGGGGGGGGGGGGGGCTATTTTTTGCTCCCTCGTATCTCCGAAACTATTGGACGGATCCGCAAAATTCACAAAGTTCAAACGGCGTTCGAAAGGCCTGTCAAATTTCTCGAAGGAAACCAAATTTCATTGACCTAGGGGTCACCGATGACGTCACAGGTCAGGTCAAAGATGAAATGTTTCACCGTTCACGGGTCTTCTAGGGAATGCGCTATAACACCGAGGAAAACGCATTTTGGTGAGAATCAGCGATAGGGCGTCAGTTGCCTAGTAGATATGTTGTTCTTAGAGGTCACTGACAGTACCAGGTCAGGTCACAGGTCAGGTCACCAAGGGTCACAGGTCAGGTCACATGAGCCAACTTTACTGAGGTTGTGTGATGCATGTTTTATGGCCAATTTTTCATTTTCAACTCAATGGTGTTGGTTATAAGACTATCAGGTACGGCTTAGGTCACTTTCTGGTGAAGTTCAGGTCAAGGTCAGGTCAAGGTCAGGCCAAAAAAGGTCAAATTTTAAAGTTGATAGTTTTGCATAAAATGGGTATTTATTCGATGCAGCTCGTCACGGGGAGTCTAATGGTGGTCTTTATTTTGCGCTACGGGGTCTAGAATTGCTAAAAATTGAGTTTGAAAATTTGACGTCATCAATTTTGAACAGTCTTTTCGCTATGACTTCGCCAAAAAAGGAGTTATCAATCTCAAATTTGGTATGTGGATGGAAGATGGTAAGGACTATCACATGTATTCCGGTTTTTGCGAAATTCAAAACACTTCTTGGATTTTTCGATTATTTTATCCAAAAAATATATTTTTTGATTTTTGGGGGTCAAAATCCAAACATTTCAAAAATCCGAGATAGCAGTTTTGTAGCCCTGTCGATTCTACAGCTTTTATGTCTTTATCATTTTTCTGTATTTGCAAAGCTATAGGCCTGATAGCTCTTCCCGCGAAACCCTTTTTTGGGTCGAAAACGGCAGAATATGACGTCACTCTGACGTGATTTCCGGCCAACCTATCATAGCCTTTGGAAAAATATTTGGTCACAATGTGTAAAATTGATGTCCGGGAGGGTACTGAAAGTTTGGTGACGATCGGCGCAGCGGTTCTGGATATATATCGAAAAGTCTGGAGGGGGGGGGCAAAAAATAGCCCCCCCCCCCCACCAGGTCGCGGGTTAACGTCAAATTTTCAGTACAGTACATGCCTAAAATTGAATTCTGCATCTTGCCATGAAAGCAATGAGTAAATCGGTGTGCAACCTCTTTTTTAGTAACAGGGGTGTACGTACAGTCAAAAATCCCTCCGGAGTGGCGACGCGGGCGGTGCCGGCCGATTTTCACTGCCGGCGCCGGACGGTTACGTCTTTGCGTTGCGCTGCTTACCGCTGCTAATGCTCGATTCGCGTCAATATATCATTGCAACTTAAAAATGTACGGACTACAAGCAATGTTATAGTGAAAGAAATACGAAAATCAGCCGGTAACATTATGAGTCTCGTCACTCGTGTGTGCAAAGCAAACACAAAACTGACTGAAACGCTTCCACTAGCACACTAGTGGTGCTAATCGGAACTTGGACCTTCGGAATTCCGATTTTGTCCTACAATACCCAATTCGGAATTTGATTGGACACAGGCAGCACGCTTTGGACAAACTCAGTCGAACCCAGTCGTTCTAAGCATTGGTGAAGACCCCCACATGCATTGCTCAACATTGGTGAAGGATCCTTCACCAATCTAAAACTTTGGTGAAAGGTATCATTCACCAAAGAGATACGTTGCTACACCTATGGACATCAAGAAAGGATAGAGGAGCAGCTATACCAAAAATCAGGCTTCTGGCTCTACAAATGTTGAGTGCAGAGCAGAAAGACTACCTGCCCATGTGCGGGCGAGGGTTAATTCATCAGTTAAAGGGACCCTCGCACCTTCAAAAAAGTTAATGAATTGGCATGAAAGTTATGTCGCTCGGTTCAAAAAGAGCGAAAACGAATATCTACCAAATTTCATCGAAAAATATTCACCGGTTTTCAAGACTTTTACTTTTGTTTACTTTTTGGGATATCCGCTGTTCCTAGCGACTTTATTTGAAAGTGCGACATTTGTTGCGCGCAAAGCAGGATATACCACCGCATGCTACCAAACGTCTTAGTAAAAGATTTAAAAATTGTTAGATCTCCGCTGACGTCACAAATTCTAAGGGGGGCGGCATCCCAATGCATTACCCAGCCAGCAATTCGCTTGGGCTAAACTATGGCAAACGTCGGGCAGCTTGGGCTTAGCTTGGGTTTGCCCACTTCGATCAAAACCAATGCATTTTTTACTTGGGCTGAGAATGGGCATGCCGAAGCTATGCCCGAGTGTGGCCAGCTGCAGCTCAGCCCGACATCCCCCGCGCAATCAAAGCAGGCTCAACTTGGGCGGAGCGCGGGCTGATCAAGCTGGTTGTCTCCTTTGGCTAACTGGAGTAAAGCCGGAGTTGAGCCATACTTGATCGGCTGTTCACGCATGCGCATTTCTGCGCCAGTCACGTTTTGCTCGGGCTTACATCGGGCTACCGCCAATCATCGCACAACTAGGGCTAAGCTACGGCTGTCCGGAGCTCGCAGAGCGGGCATACCTCCGGCGGAGCATGGGCTTTAGTCGGCGTTTTTGTGTCATACGCCGACTTTAGCCCAAGCCCTAGCCTACTTTAGCCCGACTAAAATCTCGGGCAAGCCGCACTTTAGCCTGCTTGGGCCCGGAGTAAAATTGCTGGCTGGGTAGCCCCTTAGAATCCGAAAACTGCAAGTTTGAAATTCCATATCTCCGAATTAAAGCATTTTTCGATGTTGTGAGTGTTCAAACCAGAATTGCAGGCCGTGGCCACCAAGTTGGCTATCTCAACTGAAAACTAATGTTAAGTGGGATGGTCACTTTAAAAAAGACGTTAAAATAAATTAGAAAAGGGCACCCAGGTCACCAGAATGTGACCTTGAACTGACCTTCAGGTTCATGGAACCTTCATAACGCATGGGACAAAAAAATTATTTCACCAATACAGAGCACCTCCGAACCGGCGAGTGGTGGTGGGTTGCAGCCAAAGGTAGCACGTGTCCGAACCGGCTAGTGGTGGTGGGTTGCAGCCAAAGGTAGCACGTGTCCGAACCGGCGAGTGGTGGTGGGTTGCAGCCAAAGGTAGCACGTGTCCGAACCGGCGAGTGGTGGTGGGTTGCAGCCAAAGGTAGCACGTGTCCGAACCGGCGAGTGGTGGTGGGTTGCAGCCAAAGGTAGCACGTGTCCGAACCGGCGAGTGGTGGTGGGTCCGAACCGGCGAGTGGTGGTGGGTCCGAACCGGCGAGTGGTGGTGGGTCCGAACCGGCGAGTGGTGGTGGGTCCGAACCGGCGAGCGGTGGTGGGTCCGAACCGGTGAGTGGTGGTGGGTTGCAGCCAAAGGTAATCCGGCTGACCCGGTGACCTTCAATAGATACCAAATTCATACTGAATACCAAATTATGCTTACGAAAGAAACTTGACTTACGAAGTCGAAGTGAACACGGCCCCTGGCCTCTCAATTCTGGCGATACCTGCGATAGAGGCATGCAGCGTGGATCTGTCTGAGCTCCTCCGGTGTGCCATTGTCATTGAGACGAGCGAGGCGCCGCCTTTGCTGCAGCTCTCCTCAGAAGGTTCAGGTGAGCAGTCCGGTAGAGGGGACTGACAATGTCACCCGTGGTGCTCGACTGTCCGGCGGCACGGGGCGGGCACGGCCTTTACTGTCCGACGGCCCGGGGCGGGAACGGCCTCGCCTTTACTGTCCGACGGCCCGGCCTCGCCTTTACTGTACGACGGCCCGGGGCGGGAACGGCCTCGCCTTTCTGAAGTCCAATGAATTGTGGATGTTGCTGATGCGCGACGCCTGAACCGAAACGACTCCTCGCGGAGTAAAACAAACCGATTAACTTGCATCTATGACGCCAGACTGTATCAACTGTTGTCCGCGTGAGTAACTTCAAATAAAACTGGAACACCGGCAGCAATTTGTCATGCATAATACACCTTACACATATGACTATACTTATTTTGCAAAATCGCTGCTTTGTTTACTCACTCTTGTAATTCGTATTCATGATACTTGATATGAAGTTCATTTGAAATTGTATTTGACAACACATTTGTAGTGGAGGGTTGAAACTGTCCTCACATTGTTGGCAATGGCGCCAATGCAGTCATGCAACAAGGGTATTTCACGGAGATGGTGCATTTCTAAAAGCGCCGCGGCGGGTGGGCAGGACGGCAGGACGGCAGTCGGCCGGCTAAGACTGGGGCGCCGGCGGCTCGTCAGCGCGCCCCGGCTCGGCTGCCGTGTGCGGCCGCTTGGCGGCGCCACCGTCGTCGGACGACGGGCGCCGTTTGCGCGGCGGCGGCGCGGCGTCGGCGGCCGGCGCCGATTCCTCCCTTCGCCGCGCGTCCGCCTCCGCCTGCCGGGGAGATCGGGCTGAGACCAGGGCAGGCGGGTTGGGGGAGGGGGGGGGGGGGCAGGCGGGGTGCGACCAGGGCAGGCGTGGTGGGGGGGGGGGGGGCGAGGTGCGACCAGGGCAGGCGGGGTGGGGGGGGGGCGAGGGCAGGCGGGGTGAGGGCTGGCGCCGGCTGCCTCTGGGGGTTGTAGTGCGGGGACGTGGGGTTGAGTACAGACATCGTAAACTAGCCGTGTTTTTCTCCAGGCACAATGATAAAAATACACATTTCTGGGCAGTCAATATAAAAGCTGCGCTTATGAGCAGAACAAAGCTGTAACAGGTAATTATTGGTGACTATGAAATGGCGTTCACGCCGCGTCTCTCACCTGGGCCACCTCGGCGGCCGAGTGGTCCTGGCACACGTGTCCGAGGTGCGCGTGGCGCGCGATGCCCGTGTCCTGGTGGTTGCGGCACACCGAGTTGGGGCACAGCGAGCACAGCTGCACGGCCCGCTGGCCGCAGATGTCACAATGGTGCCACGGACACACCCATTTACCTGCCGGCGGGCGGACGGACGTGTCACGACACCAGCCGCCTGGCCCGGCCAGCCCCCACTGGCAGTCCGGTGTTGGAGCCGGCACTGACCGGCTACAGCTGCAGACTACTGACCACACGAGGACTACTGACCGTGCGGGTACTACTGACCACACGGGGACTACTGACCGCGCCGGGACTACTGACCACACGGGGACTACTGACCGCGCCGGGACTACTGACCACACGGGGACTACTGACCGCGCCGGGACTACTGACCACACGGGGACTACTGACCGCGCCGGGACTACTGACCACACGGGGACTACTGACCGCGCCGGGACTACTGACAGTGCGAGGACTACTGACCGCGCCGGGACTACTGACAGTGCGAGGACTACTGACCGTGCGGGTACTACTGACCGCGCCGGGACTACTGACCACACGAGGACTACTGACCGTGCGGGTACTACTGACCACACGGGGACTACTGACCGCGCCGGGACTACTGACCGTGCGGCGGCCGCTCCAGCTGCAGGCAGCCGGCGTGGTACGCCTTGGGACAGTCGGCGAAGTCGCAGAGGATCAGCTGGCCGCCGGCCGCGCAGCGGAAGCAGACGTCCTCGGAGCGGCGCTTCACGGTGCGCCGCCGGCGCCGGCGCTTCCGCGGGCGCGCCTTGTCGTCGGCCTTGGCCGCCTTCACCGCCTGCGGGCGCAGCGGGGACGTCAGGGGCCAGTCGGCGCGCTGGCGACACGGGGCGCTCCCAGTTCCCACCCGCCCACGCTGCTGCGGCTGCTGCTGCTGCTGCTCGAACGATCAGCGCCTGTGGACGCAGCAGCTCCCGCCGCATACTGCAAGTGTGTGGGCATCAGACAATGTTCGTTCATGTCCACCCCTAGCAGTGTTCCATTTTTCAGACTTTTTGGTGGCAAATCACACCTAATGGGGAAAATATTTTCATCCCTAAAATATGAATGACCGACTTTACTTCATCTCTGAAAAAGAGTTTCATGTATTCCCAACAGCCAGTTCACACGTCACTTGACAGTTGATGCACCCACTTCCTTTTGTTCCACACCCTGTCAAGATCGTGACATGAAATCCTAGTTTATCAGTTGGCATGAAAATTGGCATTACACCATTTTGAAAAAATACTTCAGTTATTTACTTTCTTTTTCCTCATCCTAGGATTCTTCTACTTCATCGGCACACCCAACCAATATCCAATTTTAGAACACTGACCCCTAGGATGTACCCTTTGAAAAATAGCCTACAATGGATAATTACAGACCCGCCCAGCCTATGTAGCTGCGTATGTAGCGGAGTATACAGCGGAGGCGGCAGCAGTCTGCCGAGCGCCGATGGCGCATCCCGCTCACCGTCTGACGCCTCGCCGCTCTCCTCGGGTTCAGCCAGTGGGGCTACATCAGCCGGCCCGGGTACGTCCGACAGTCACCGTCCAATAACCCATCCTCACACAGATCACCGTCCACCAATAACCCATCCTCACACAGAATATCACCGTCCACCAATACCTCATTCTCACACAAACCACCGTCCAACAACCCATCCTCATACAGAATATCACCGTCCAATACCCCATCCTCACACAGATCACCGTTCAATAACCCATCCTCACACAGATCACCGCGTCCAATAGCCCATCCTCACACAGACCATCGTCCAATAACCCATCCTCACAGATCACCGTCCAATAACCCATCCTCACACAGACCACCGTCCAACAACCCATCTTCACACAGATCACCGTCCAATAACCCATCCTCACACAGATCACCGTCCACCAATAACCCATCCTCACACAGATCACCGTCCAACAACCCATCTTCACACAGATCACCGTCCAACAACCCATCCTCACACAGATCACCGCCCGATAACCCATCATCACACAGAATATCACCGTCCAACAACCCATCCTCACACAGAATATCACCGTCCAACAACCCATCCTCACACAGATCACCGTCCAACAACCCATCCTCACACAGATCACCGTCCAACAACCCATCCTCACACAGATCACCGTCCAACAACCCACCCTCACACAGATCACCGTCCAATAACCCATCCTCACACAGATCACCGTCCACCAATACCCCATCCTCACACAGACCACCGTCCAACAACCCATCCTCACACAGATCACCGTCCAATAACCCATCCTCACACAGATCACCGTCCAATAACCCATCCTCACACAGATCACCGTCCAATAACCCATCCTCACACAGATCACCGTCCAATAACCCATCATCACACAGAATATCACCGTCCACCAATAACCCATCCTCACACAGATCACCGTCCAACAACCCATCCTCACACAGATCACCGTCCAATGCCCCATCCTCACACAGATCACCGTCCACCAATACCCCATTCTCACACAGATCACCGTCCAACAACCCATCTTCACACAGATCACCGTCCAATAACCCATCCTCACACAGATCACCGTCCACCAATACCCCATTCTCACACAGATCACCGTTCAATAACCCATCCTCACACAGATCACCGCGTCCAATAGCCCATCCTCACACAGACCATCGTCCAATAACCCATCCTCACAGATCACCGTCCAATAACCCATCCTCACACAGACCACCGTCCAACAACCCATCCTCACACAGATCACCGTCCAATACCCCATCCTCACACAGAATATCACCGTCCAACAACCCATCCTCACACAGATCACCGTCCAACAACCCATCCTCACACAGATCACCGTCCAATAACCCATCCTCACAGATCACCGTCCAATAACCCATCCTCACACAGATCACCGTCCAATAACCCATCCTCACACAGATCACCGTCCACCAATAACCCATCCTCACACAGATCACCGTCCAACAACCCATCCTCACACAGATCACCGTCCAATGCCCCATCCTCACACAGATCACCGTGCAACAACCCATCCTCACAGTTCACACAGATCACCGTCCAATACCCCATCCTCACACAGATCACCGTCCAACAACCCATCTTCACACAGATCACCGTCCAATAACCCATCCTCACACAGATCACCGTCCACCAATAACCCATCCTCACACAGATCACCGTCCAACAACCCATCCTCACACAGATCACCGTCCAATGCCCCATCCTCACACAGATCACCGTGCAACAACCCATCCTCACAGTTCACACAGATCACCGTCCAATACCCCATCCTCACACAGATCACCGTCCAACAACCCATCCTCACACAGATCACCGTCCAACAACCCATCCTCACACAGATCACCGTCCAACAACCCATCCTCACACAGATCACCGTCCAACAACCCATCCTCACACAGATCACCGTCCAATAACCCATCCTCACACAGATCACCGTCCAATAACCCATCCTCACACAGATCACCGTCCAATAACCCATCCTCACACAGATCACCGTCCACCAATAACCCATCCTCACACAGATCACCGTCCAACAACCCATCCTCACACAGATCACCGTCCAACAACCCATCCTCACACAGATCACCGTCCAATAACCCATCCTCACACAGATCACCGTCCAATAACCCATCCTCACACAGATCACCGTCCACCAATAACCCATCCTCACACAGATCACCGTCCAACAACCCATCCTCACACAGATCACCGTCCAACAACCCATCCTCACACAGATCACCGTCCAATAACCCATCCTCACAGATCACCGTCCAATAACCCATCCTCACACAGATCACCGTCCAATAACCCATCCTCACACAGATCACCGTCCACCAATAACCCATCCTCACACAGATCACCGTCCAACAACCCATCCTCACACAGATCACCGTCCAATGCCCCATCCTCACACAGATCACCGTGCAACAACCCATCCTCACAGTTCACACAGATCACCGTCCAATACCCCATCCTCACACAGATCACCGTCCAACAACCCATCCTCACACAGATCACCGTCCAATACCCCATTCTCACACAGATCACCGTTCAATAACCCATCCTCACACAGATCACCGCGTCCAATAGCCCATCCTCACACAGACCATCGTCCAATAACCCATCCTCACAGATCACCGTCCAATAACCCATCCTCACACAGACCACCGTCCAACAACCCATCCTCACACAGATCACCGTCCAATAACCCATCCTCACACAGACCACCGTCCAACAACCCATCCTCACACAGATCACCGTCCAATACCCCATCCTCACACAGAATATCACCGTCCAACAACCCATCCTCACACAGATCACCGTCCAACAACCCATCCTCACACAGATCACCGTCCAATAACCCATCCTCACACAGATCACCGTCCACCAATAACCCATCCTCACACAGATCACCGTCCAACAACCCATCCTCACACAGATCACCGTCCAATGCCCCATCCTCACACAGATCACCGTGCAACAACCCATCCTCACAGTTCACAGATCACCGTCCAATACCCCATCCTCACACAGATCACCGTCCAACAACCCATCCTCACACAGATCACCGTCCAATAACCCATCCTCACACAGATCACCGTCCACCAATAACCCATCCTCACACAGACCACCGTCCAACAACCCATCCTCACACAGATCACCGTCCAATACCCCATCATCACACAGAATATCACCGTCCAACAACCCATCCTCACACAGACCATCGTCCAATAACCCATCCTCACAGATCACCGTCCAATAACCCATCCTCACACAGACCACCGTCCAACAACCCATCCTCACACAGATCACCGTCCAATACCCCATCATCACACAGAATATCACCGTCCAACAACCCATCCTCACACAGATCACCGTCCAACAACCCATCCTCACACAGATCACCGTCCACCAATAACCCATCCTCACACAGATCACCGTCCAACAACCCATCCTCACACAGATCACCGTCCAACAACCCACCCTCACACAGATCACCGTCCAATAACCCATCCTCACACAGATCACCGTCCACCAATAACCCATCCTCACACAGATCACCGTCCAACAACCCATCTTCACACAGATCACCGTCCACCAATAACCCATCCTCACACAGATCACCGTCCAACAACCCATCTTCACACAGATCACCGTCCACCAATAACCCATCCTCACACAGATCACCGTCCAACAACCCATCCTCACACAGATCACCGTCCAACAACCCATCTTCACACAGATCACCGTCCACCAATAACCCATCCTCACACAGATCACCGTCCAACAACCCATCTTCACACAGATCACCGTCCAATAACCCATCCTCACACAGATCACCGTCCAATAACCCATCTTCACACAGATCACCGTCCAATAACCCATCCTCACACAATCACCGTCCAATACCCCATCCTCACACAGAATATCACCGTCCAACAACCCATCCTCACACAGATCACCGTCCAACAACCCATCCTCACACAGATCACCGTCCAACAACCCACCCTCACACAGATCACCGTCCAATAACCCATCCTCACACCGGTACCATCTCTCGCTGCCACACATCCCCCCTCCAGATCCGATACTCTCCGACTAATCTCACCCCTGACCCGCTCCCGCTCGGCCGGCGCCTGCCGCCGTCGCTCGGCGTCCGAGGCACTTTCCTCGTCTGCTGTAATATGGTGTTCACTCTCCTGATCTGATGCGGTATCTCCTCACCATCCCCGGCCTCCGCCCATCCCGATACGCACCTTGAGCACCTTGTCGCCCAGAAAGCCGCTGCAGTTGTCTGCGCCGCACATGCAGCGCTTCTTGGCCGTGCCCACGCAGTCAAAGTTGTAGTTGAAGTTGAGCTCAGTGCCGGCCGGTATGTCAGTCAGAGTGAACAGACCCACGCGCGTCTCCGAGTTGATGGTCCACTTCTGGGTCTCGCAGTTGGGCTGGCAGCAGTGGTTCATGAACCTGGACCGGCAGGGAGACGGCAGGTTGGCCGGTGCAAAACCTCACCGCGGAGACCGGCGGTAACCCCAATCACGCCCCGTCCCCCAGTCGCCGCGTCCGCGGGACACGTGGCATAACACCCGCGCCATGTGTTACACACCTGATCAGTGGTGTTCCCCGTGTTACACGCCCGGTAACGTCGTCCTGTTACACACCTGATGTCGCCGTGTTACACACGTGGCACACACCCGGTAATGCCCTCACTGTGTCACCCACCCGATAATGTCCTCCCTGTGTAACACACCCGGTAATGCCCCACCCTCCCCCCCCCCCCTGTGTTACACACCCGGTAATGTCCCCCGGCCTGTGTCACACACCCGGTAATGTCCCCCCTGTGTCACACCCGGTAATTCCCCCCCCCCTGTTACACACCCGGTTATATCCCCGGCCTGTGTTACACCCCCGGTAATGTCCCCCGCGTCACACACCTGGCCATGTTGCCCTTGGGTCCGGCGTCCAGGACGCGGTCCCTGTCGATGGTGAGGAAGTAGTAGTTGTCGTCCTGCGTGCGGTGCTTCAGCTCCACGCGCCGGTGCAGCTCCAGCTCGCTGATCACCTCGCCCACGTACTCGATCACAAAGTCGCCTGACAACGGCCGCCAGACGCGTCAGCCGGCCATCGGACCGGACCGGACGGGTGGCGGCCGGCCGGGTACCTACCGCGCTCCTCACAGGCCGACCGGGCACAGTCCAGCGGAGCCACACACACACACACACACACATAAACAACACGCCAACAGTGGATACAGGTCAACGTTCGTCAAACAACAGGGTGTCCACTGAACAGAGTACTGGTGAATGGGTGTTGCGACCAGACCGGCATTCCGCCCGGGCCCGGGTGAGGTGACGGCCCGGGTAGCTGCACAGGCACCCGCCCTGTAACTGGCCTGTCCCTCGGCGCCCGGAGCCGTGGCGGTGACTGACCTTTTTTGAGGTCGACACAGGTGGCCAGGCCCCAGCCCTTGCTGGCCGTCCTGACGACCTGCAGCTGCGGGTAGAGCCGCTTCTGGAAGCGCTGGTTCAGGCAGCGGTCCCCGGCTCTGCACAGCTCCGGGTGGCACTCCAGCATCAGCATCCTGCCAGTCAGCGCGGCCGGCGCGGGTGAGACACACCGCCGACACCATGACCACACAACACGCGCGCACAGAACAGGTAGAGCAGCTCGGCGGAGTCATTTCCTGCCGGTGCCGGGTGTACGGACAGATCTGCCTCAGCTCGGCGCCGCGGACCTGCTGTCCCGGCGGCCCGTGTCTCACCGGTTCAGGCAGGAGGAGTCCGGCCCGCAGGGGCGCTCGTCGGTCGGCCGACACCCGCACGCGGTGGCCTGGCTGACGTCACCGTTCGACAGCTTCACACCGCCCACTGGCTTGTTGGTCTTGATCTTGATGTAGGACGGCGGCCGCTGAAACAGCACGGGGCACGGTCAGCCACCGGGCCGGCCCGGCGCCGGCCCCTTCACCACAGCACCCGCAGATCAGCGGAAAATCGGCCAGAGCGGACCACGGGATGTGCTCGACTAAAATAAATGCGAGTAGTTAGTTGCTTACGAAATGGGGACGCCTGAGGAGAGATCTACACGCTATTTACATTCGCCATTTACGACCTACGGAGCGATATCTCAAGAAACCGCCTGATGTTCATTGATGATATTTTTCTTCCAAGAACATCTCGTCGCAAAAAAAAAACGCACAAAGCATATTGTTGCCGCTGATCGCTGGGGTGGTGCTGAATCAAAACTGAGCAAAACGCCTTCAAACAAAAAGCAGCTCTTTTACAGTATTTAACCCTGTTATATACGAGTGAATTATGGGGTGACTGATAGGAGCCCGTCGCTGGGCGGCGCCGTCTCACCAGGATGTCGACGCCCTCCTTCTCCCGGCGCCGGTGCTCCCTGTACTGCTGATAGTAGGCGGTCGCCTCCTGGAGCGCCTTCTTGTACGACGAGGTGAGCGTCTTCGAGCCGTTAGCGTTCACCTTACCCAGGGAGTCCTGCGGGGAGCCAGCGGCGGCGTCAGTCCAGACGTCTGATAAGGAGAGTTACCGGAGTCGGTTCAGGTGGTGGGCCGTACGAGCCGAGGAGACACGCCGACTCCAATGGCAGGGTGGGCAGACTGAGCGCCCTAGTCTGCGGCCCGACCGGCAGCCAGCCAGGTAACCGCCCTTTGCGTCACTGGCGGAGAAAACCCCGCTGACTCCGTCCGCTGCCCTAGAAGTGATCCATACGCCGCTGAAGCAGCTGCAAATTCACATATCATCACGCGACATTTTGAAACAAGACATAGTCAGCGCCCGGCTACGAAAAAAAGTCATGCCAACACCAAGTCAAACCTACAGCTCTTGGACCTGGGTTATAGGCTTTAGCTTTCCTCTCACAGGCATTCAAAGGCAACCCCTCCCTGTCCGAAGCCCGAGGCCGGTCAGCCATGTGCGGTCGGCTGGCCTGACTCACCCCCTCCTCGAAGAGGAACACGCGGCCGCGGCGCACCCAGCTGTAGTCGTTGGAGCCGAAGAAGCGCACGACAAACTGACCGGTGCTGTAGTCCATCTGCAGCAGGTTCTCCGGAATGTCGTTAGGTGGCACCACCATCGCCGGCCACCACCTGCCGCCGACCGAGCGCGCAGCATCGTGAGGGAGCAGCCACTGACAGCGGCCACTGACAGCGGACCAACACAGCAGCCACTGACTGCGGCCACTGACAGCGGACCAACACAGCAGCCACTGACTGCGGGCATCACAGCAGCCACTGACAGCTGACATGACTGACAGCAACCACTGACAGCGGGCCAAACTGATAGCAGCCACTGACAGCGGGTCAAACTGATAGCAGCCACTGACAGCGGACAAACACAGCAGTCACTGACAGCGGGCCAAACTGACAGCAGCCACTGACAGCGGGCCAACACAGCAGTCACTGACAGCGGGCCAACACAGCAGTCACTGACAGCGGGCCAACACAGCAGTCACTGACAGCTGACAGCAACAACTGACAGCGGGCCAACACAGCAGCCACTGACAGCAGGCCAACACGGCAGCCACTGACAGCGGGCCAACACAGCAACCACTGGCGGAAGCTGCAAGCGAGCGCCCTATGTTCGACTCCGTCCCAGCAGACGATGGGGGGGGGGTGAATGGCCCCCCAGTTGAACCCTTCGCGGCGGCTGGGACAGATTGGCCGACCTCCCATCTGGTATCTGGTGCTGACGGCGATCACTGACCTATAGAAGCCGTGTTTGACCCAGACGACCTCTCCGTAGAGAGGGAAGCGGCCGCTCTCGCATTCCTCGCATACGTAGCCGCCCTCCGGCACCGGCGTGTTGACGCACTCGGCGTGGAACGAGGCTGGGCAGCTCTCACAGCAGATCAGACTGCCACCTGGCGGCGTCAGAGGCGGGGCACACCACTCAGTCGGCGTCAGAGGCGGGGCACACCACTCAGTCGGCGTCAGAGGCGGGGCACAACACTCAGTCGGCGTCGGAGGCGGGGCACACCACTCAGTCGGCGTCAGAGACGGGGTACACCACTCAGTCGGCGTCAGAGGCGGGGCACAACACTCAGTCGGCGTCGGAGGCGGGGCACACCACTCAGTCGGCGTCAGAGGCGGGGCACACCACTCAGTCGGCGTCAGAAGCGGGGCACACCACTCAGTCGGCGTCAGAGGCGGGGCACACCACTCAGTCGGCGTCAGAGGCGGGGCACACCACTCAGTCGGCGTCGGAGGCGGGGCACACCACTCAGTCGGCGTCAGAGGCGGGGCACACCACTAAGTCGGCGTCAGAGACGGGGTACACTACACCACTCAGTCGGCGTCAGAGGCGGGCACACCACTCAGTCGGCGTCAGAGGCGGGGCACACCACTCAGTCGGCGTCAGAGGCGGGGCACACCACTCAGTCGGCGTCGGAGGCGGGGCTCACCACTCAGTCGGCGTCGGAGGCGGGGCACACCACTCAGTCGGCGTCAGAGGCGGGGCACACCAATCAGTCGGCGTCAGAGGCGGGGCACACCACTCAGTCGGCGTCAGAGGCGGGGCACACCACTCAGTCGGCGTCAGAGGCGGGGCACACCACTCAGTCGGCGTCAGAGGCGGGGCACACCACTCAGTCGGCGCCAGAGGCGGGGCACAGCACTCAGTCGGCGTCGGAGGCGGGGCACAGCACTCAGTCGGCGCTCACACTGGCCACCTAACGGGCTGACGGTCGCAGCTGCATAAAAAAAAAACACCACTTAATGGGCGAATAAAGAGCGAACCCAATGGTGAGCCCTGCACGTGCGAGCGAGTAACGTGATATCTCCGACCAATGTGTGCGGGTCGCTCCCATCTGGTCGCCCCTTAGAGCGTGGCTACCGTCCGTCCGCGCCTGACTGGGGAGGGGGGAGCGGGCTCTACGGATCCCCGCCTCTTCCCACACGTAGTTATCCAATATCTTTTAAACCACTTCGACATGACATGCTGCATATGAAATAGTGGCGCAGTCAGTGCACGTGCGCTCGTGCAAGCTAAGACCCCATGTGACGGGTTCGGGCACCTTTCCAACCGGTCCCCCAAGGTGTGCCAAATACGAGTGCAATCATCTCAGAGAAACAACGGCCCTTGCACACGTGCAGCGGTACCCCGACCGAACAATTAGTGACACACAACAATGTAAGCACTGCCTGGCGGGTCTGCCCACCGAGGGGCTAGGCTCCAGCGCGTCCGGCCCAGTCATTAAAAGGATAAGTAATTGTAAGTGGATTCCAAACATGGTCCGACACACGACGAGGGAGAAAGGGAACAGACTCCCCAAAAAGGGAGAACGGGAACAGACTCCCCAAAAAGGGAGAACGGGAACAGACTCCCCAAAAAGGGAGAACGGGAACAGACTCCCCAAAAAGGGAGAACGGGAACAGACTCCTCAAAAAGGGAGAACGGGAACAGACTCCCCAAAAAGGGAGAACGGGAACAGACTCCCCAAAAAGGGAGAACGGGAACAGACTCCTCAAAAAGGGAGAACGGGAACAGACTCCCCAAAAAGGGAGAACGGGAGCAGACTCCCCAAAAAGGGAGAACGGGAGCACTCCCCAAAAAGGGAGAACGGGAACAGACTCCCAAAAAAGGGAGAACGGGAACAGACTCCCCAAAAAGGGAGAACGGGAACAGACTCCCCAAAAAGTGGCTCAAAATTCCTAAACGGGAACAGACTCCCCAAAAAGTGGCTCAGTTTCAAAAACGGGAACAGACTCCCCAAAAAGTGGCTCGGAAACGCGGGAAGGCAAATTATTCCAAACTCCCTGCCCAGCTCCTCTCGGATCCGCCCCGTAGCGTATTTAACGGGGTGCTACTGGGCATGCTACCCCCCCCCCCCCCCCCAGGGATGCCGTAGCCGCCCTCCTACCGCATTTGTAGCGTTCTTATCGCAGAGGTGGTCGCCGATCCAAGTCGGTTGATCGCCGCCCTCCTTACCACTGGCACCCTCCTGTTGATCGCCTTCATCCTAACCATTTGCTATGGGCAAAACACCCGGCTTAGTGCTAACTGCTAACGCCGCTGGTAAGGGCAGAACACCCGGCTAGCGCCGCTGCTAAGGACAGAACACCCGGCTAGCGGCGCGGACGGTCGCCACTACCCGAACCGGTCGAGTGGCGGAGAGGGTGTCAGCCGCCAGGCCAGCGGGCGGCGGACGCAGGCGCCCCAGGTCCCCTCGGAGCAGCAGGCTGTGGTGATGTGGTGTCCCAGCCTATCACTTTGAAGCACCAGGCTGTGACGTGGTGCCGTGAATTATACCTTTGGAGCAGATGAAGCACCAGGTGGTGTTGATGTGGTGCTGGGAGGCCGTCTTCTTGGTGGCGGCGTCGGCAGTGTAGTGTTTGGTGCAGACGATCTGGGAGGAGTTGAGGATTTCCGTGCCGGCTGCGACGCATTGTTCGCCTGCAACAGGACGGCGTCAAACATACGACACCGAACACAGCAGTTCGGCGAGTACACTGGAGGCCAGCGACATGAGGCAAGTATATGTTTAACTAAACTGGGCTTTATGTAAACTGTAGTTTTTTTTTAAACCAAAACAAAACAAAGGCAATTAAAGAGCTCAATACAATCTATCTAAGCAGGTTGCTATGCTAACAACATTTTGATGCATCCGAGTGTGCCCCCCCCCCCCCCGCTGACTGGACAGCCGCGGCAGCCTCCCCCCCCCCCGCTGACTGGACAGCCGCGACAGCCCCCTCCCCCCTCCCCCCTCACTCACTGGTGTGGTAGGTAGTGGGACACCGGACACACTTGAACAGCTTGTCGGTGGGCTTGAACTGGGCGGCCAGCCGGCGCGGGTCCTCGCTGACGCACGTGTGGCACACGTGCAGAGGGCACACCAGCCGCTCCTCGTGCGTGGTCGCCTGCGGGAACAGGCGCAGGCAGGCGCGGTGGAAGCGCTTCCCGCAGCGGCCGGCGGCGCGGCACGGCTCCAGCAAGCCGGCCGGCGAGCGGCACACGAAGCAGGCGTGCCGGCCGCTCAGGCACTCAGCGCACGTGAACTGCACGGTGGAGGCCGGCGCGCCGGCGCAGCGCAGGTGGTACACGCCGCCGCACGGGCCGGCGCAGCGCACCACGTCTCGGCCCAGCTCGCCGTTCACCTCACAGAGCTGCCGGGGGGCGGGAGGGGGGGGGGTCAGGGAGCGGCGCGCCGAGCAGACCCACGGTACCAGCCGCCGGTCAGTGTAAAGGCCGCGGCACCAGCAGAGCCAACGTTCCGTCGGACGGCGCAGCTGACAACAGACAACAGGCAGACACACAGACACATCTCATCACACAGCTCATCAGGCAGCTCACCACACAGCCAGTGAGACATCTGATCAGATAGCCTATCAGACAGCTGACCAGACAGCTGACTACACCAGGCAGCTGGGCAGTCGGGGCTCACCTGACAAACCTTCTCCACGCGGCGCACGCGCGACCGCCCGCTGGTCTCCGAGTCGGCGTCGGAGCTGTCCGGTCGGGGCGCCGCCGCCGGCCGGCTGCCACGCGCCGCCGCCTTCTTTGGCGGCGCGGCGGCGAAGGCTGCGCGCTCGGCGCGGCCCATGGCCTCCCAGCGGGCGGCCAGCAGCTCTATCACCTCCACCTCGGCCAGCTCTGGCCGGCGCGCCGCCGTGCCCTCGCGCTGCGACTCGCAGAACTGGCTGAAGCCGGCCTCGTCCGTCCAGTCATCGGGGCTGGAGGCGCCGGCGGCGCTCGGGCTGGGCGACGCCGACCCCGAGCAGCGCGAGCCGGCCTCGGACCGGGCGCCGGCGGCCGCTGACTCGGCGGCCGCCGAGGAGGCGCGGCTCGACCCCGAGGACGCCGCGCCGGCGGCCGGGGCGGAGGCGCGGCGGCGCTGCTTGGGTTTGGGCGCCGGCGCCGGCGCCGGCTCTGGCTTGGTCTCGGCCGCAGGTGGGTTCGATTCGACAAACGGTTTGACCCGCTCGTACCTGGACAGTGGACGGGTTCGCAGAACAGTGTCACCGGAGAATAGTTCAGCTGTCGGCGTCTCACAACTGACAGCAGGAAATTACTGAAGAAAAAACAGGAAGCTAAAAAGACGGTGATACTCTCCGTATTGGTAGGTAGCTTTTCATAAAATCACACTCATTTTACCCGCGCCGTGCTGGTGATTTGAGTGGTCCGTGTCAAGCTGGGGGAGGGGAGTGTTTTCACGCCCCCTCCCCGTCACGCTCGGCTCCTGGGGCTGGGCCACGTAGCGACAAACAGTAAGCGGCATTCGAAAGTGTCCAAAGTAATGACAAAAAAACTGGTCATTTTTTAGGTTAGGTCAAAGGTCAGGTCACCAGAGGTCAACTTTTGCCCATTTCAACGTTTTCCGACAAATCGGTGCATAACTCTAAAACCAATGGAGCTACAGCGCCACGAAAAAAGCGCATTCAATAGCTCTTTTAACGCGTTTTCGCTGAAATGTCCTCAGATTTGACGTAACCTCAATGGTTTAGCCTACAGAGTAGACATGAGCATGGATCCGAGTGATGGATCTATGATCTCAGTGGATATCGAAACAAACTAATTTAAGATCTATGATCCCAGCAAAGCGGTGTGAAAACTTTATCCTGAATCTATGATCTCATAGGATATGACGATAAACCAAGAACATGGATCTATGATTTGAGTGGATCCCACCATGCACAACATTTGAAACCAAGTTTCCAAGTGTTTCTATGTCAATAAATGCCGCAAAACTATGGATTATGACGTGCAATCACATAATAGGATCATAGCAGAGGTGGAGATCTCGGGGGGGGGGGGTCAGGACCCCCTGAAAACGAATTACTGCTATGAAGTCAATGATCCGGGTCTGAAATTTTGACAAGCAGAAAAGATTATGATAAGGTGTACCAAAAGCGTTAATTAGATATTCGCGAAAAACCTGATCGGTGGAGGGGGCCTAAAAACGCCCCCCCCCCCCCCCACGGCGCGGGTAAAGTCAAACTTGTTACATACTAAGCTGAGCATTAACCCTCGCCCGTATTGGTGTTTTGCCAGGCGCGAAGGTATGGGGGGGGGGGTGGACCCCCTTGCCGTTTGGCCCCTGATCGAGCTAGAGCTTCGCGAAAAAAAATCAAGCGTGTTGCCCGTGTAGAGAAAAGCCGATGCTACCCGATTGTATGGTCCTAGGTCATCGGTTGACCTTCCAGGTCAGGTCAATGACCCAAAAGTCAGGAAAATCGGGACCTGTTAGAACATCGTAAATTGAGGCTGCTATGGTTTTTTTCGGGGTGCTGACCACGACTTTAATGTTAGTTTTGATCACAGATGATGTCTTTAGGCATTTAGGCCAGGTCGGGTCAGGTCAGGTCAGGTCAACCAGTAGGCGTCCTGCTGGAAATTCATAGTAGGTGCCAACCGCCATTGACTGCTTCGTTACATATTGCGAAGGCACCAAAACTAATTCGTAACTGTTTAAATGGTTTCTAAATTCAAAATCAGCTCGAAAAAACTAGCCTAGAAACATGTAATGTTCGAAAAAATGTGCCATGGTCATCAAAGGTCAATGACTTCGACCTGGTTTGCAAATGATCTTGACTCCCACCGTAATACATGAGACCAACATCATTTCTCATGTTTGAACGTTTACAATCACAAAAAGACTGGAAACGCGCGGATAATGTGACCTACCTGACACACGCCAAATCTCGGTTCTTCACAAATACAAAAACCTCGATTCAAGGTGTTTTAGCCGGTCTCGTTTTTTCCCCTGACCTTTGGGTCAGTGACCTGACCCGGGAGGTCAACCAATAACCTAGGACCTGAAATAGAGCATTGTCGGTTTCCTTTCGTCAAGGGTAGCAGGTTCGTTTTTTCCGAAGCTCTGACTCAATTAGGGTCCGAAAGACTGCACTGGTATGGCACGGTCGACAAGTCTTTTGCCCGAAATGTCAGCGGTTGTGAATACGCAAAAACGGGCGAGGGTTTAATATCACCTTGACATTACCTACTTTGTCACCCCAGTCAACATCCCTTGGACAGGAAAGTCTCCTCCCACCCAAACGACAGGAAATTCCCTCAGACGACAGGCAAATTTACCTGCTCAGTCACATGAGTCCTCCCCTCCAGCTGACGAGGGTGTCCCGTCCTGAGCCCACTCCCCATCTCGGCTGGAAGCTACCTTCTGCCGCCGGCCAGAGGCCGCTCACCTGTCCAGCGCCAGGCTGCCAGAGGCCGCTCACCTGTCCAGCCGGTGGCCAGAGGCCGCTCACCTGTCCAGAGGCCGCTCACCTGTCCAGCGCCAGGCTGCCAGAGGCCGCTCACCTGTCCAGCGCCAGGCTGCCGGTGGCCAGAGGCCGCTCACCTGTCCAGCGCCAGGCTGCCGGTGGCCAGAGGCCGCTCACCTGTCCAGCGCCAGGCTGCCAGAGGCCGCTCACCTGTCCAGCGCCAGGCTGCCGGTGGCCAGAGGCCGCTCACCTGTCCAGAGGCCGCTCACCTGTCCAGCCGGTGGCCAGAGGCCGCTCACCTGTCCAGCGCCAGGCTGCCAGAGGCCGCTCACCTGTCCAGCCGGTGGCCAGAGGCCGCTCACCTGTCCAGAGGCCGCTCACCTGTCCAGCGCCAGGCTGCCAGAGGCCGCTCACCTATCCAGCGCCAGGCTGCCGGTGGTCAAAAACCGCTCACCTGTCCAGCGCCAGGCTGCCGGTGGCCAGAGGCCGCTCACCTGTCCAGCCGGTGGCCAGAGGCCGCTCACCTCTCCGGCGCCAAGCTGCCAGTGGCCAGAGGCCGCTCACCTGTCCAGCGCCAGGCTGCGAGGCCGCTCACCTGTCCAGCGCCAGGCTGCCGGAGGCCAGAGGCCGCTCACCTGTCCAGATGCCGCTCACCTGTCCAGCGCCAGGCTGCCGGTGGCCTCGGCCACTCCCTCCAGCCACTTGGGCAGGTTGCGGTTGGACAGTCTGAACTGTCCGCCCTCGCGGCCGCTGCGCTTCCCGCCGAGCTGCTCGGCTCTGGCCAGCTGGTCGAACTGGGCGCGACCCTCGAACCGGCGCAGGTTGATGGGCGCGATCCAGCCGCGGCACAGGTCTCCAAAAAAGCGCACGTGGTATCGGCGCGATACTGACGGTCCGCGCGAACCTGGAGGCCAGTGGACGGCAGGGCAGGGCAGGGCAGTGAGATACTGACGGACCGTGGACGGCGGGGCAGTGAGATACTGACGGGCCGTGGACGGCGGGACAGGGCAGTGAGTGGCTGGAGGGGGAGGGTTCCCCCTCCATTCGCACCTCCACATGCTACAGACAATTCTTAATTTATAATCGGCCACTGCGTACACGGTTAGCTGCAGCACTCTCTAATACGTCTCATTCGCCAAAAGGGTTCACTATTTTGGCCAACCAGCCCAAATCTTCAACAAACTGTATATGAGACAGTTGGGAACAGCTATCTACTGTACAATATACTACTGGGTATCCCATCAGTCATCTCGCTGGGGAGCGGTCAGCGGGGTCTACTCACCGGCCTTACGGACCAGCCTGCTGAACTGGCCAGACGCAGTGTCGTAGACGACGATGGCTGGCCAGAGGGGGTAGCCGCTGACGCGCGCCCATACCACGTCTCCCACCACGTACTCGCAGGGCACGGCCGAGTCGGGCACCGGGCGGAGCTCGGCGGCGGCGGCGGCCGGCTGCGGTCCGGCGGGCCCGTCAGTGCACAGGCGACACGCACGGCCAGCCACAACGACACACATTACACAACCGTCCATCGGGAACTACTAAATCAACCCATTGCAATGACTGCCTCCATATCTCGGAGCGTTCAGAGTGGGGGAGAAAACAAGCGGCAGCTCGAGCCCACGCCCACCACTGACCGTCGTGTGTGTGTGTTTGTGTGTTTGTTGGGGGTTAGGGGCGCGCCACTGACCGTCGCGATGGCGCCTCCGTCGTCGGCGGCGGCGCTCAGCGTGCGGCGCAGTTCGGCAGCGCGGCGGCGCGCGCCTCCGCCGGCCGGCGCCGGCGCCGGCAGCCGCGCCGGCGCCAGCTGCTGACCGGTCAGAGCCGCGTACGTGCGGTCTGTGCTGACGTAGGCGGCGTCGGAGCGGGCGCGCCGCACCCTGCCGTACTTGCTGACGGGACTGAGGCGGACAGCGCCCGGCCCGGCCGGCGAGCAGGGCCCGGTGGCGGCCGGCGGCTGGCCGCCGGCCGGGCTCGGCAGCCCCGCCGGCGGCTGGCCGTTGGCCGGGCTCGGCAGCCTCGCCGGAGCCGGCCGGTGCGCAGCCTCCTCGGTGGGTCCAGCACTGACCGCAGTGTCGCAGCTGTGCGGCCCCACGGCGGGTGTCTGGCCACTGGCTGACGGCTCCGGCGAGGCGGCCATGCCGTTCTCCTTGTCGCTGTCGTCTGCGTGGCTCGGTGGGACGGTCGATTTGCTGCCGGGCAGGTCCTGAGCCACCTTCTGCGGCGCACCGCCCTCTGCCGCGGGGATCGCCACAGAGTCGACAGTCCTGGCAACGCTCGGTGCTCGTGACACAGAATTGATGCACGACTTGGCAGAGATCGGACTGAGAACTTCTGACTTCTTACTGTGCTTCATCCTGTAATGCATACAGGAAAAGTGTCATTAATTAATAACAAACATCCAATAAAAAAGCGAGAGCTGCAAGCTAATGGGCTGTAGGTTACTGGTTAGCAGCTAGCAACTCACTAGTAGTAGGTAGGTATCCATGTTGATAGGACGTACGAGGGGCGTTCAAAAAGTTCCGGGCCCAACCATGGAGTTGGAATTTCGGCCTGCAATGCGGTGTGTTAAATGATGTGTTATTGGGATGTCCACTTACGTAGCCATTAACCAATCTCTCCTGTGATTGGTTTATGTTGCTAATTAATCGTAAAATATTTTGCCATTCCCGGTCAGAATGGGCGACGCCCAGAAGAGAACAGTGATTTCTAGAAAAATACACCAAACGTTATTCACGAAAAGCTAGTGAAAACACATGTTGAGGTTTGTCTTTCTTAAAGTAGCGTCAAAAAGTAGGTATCTCTGTTCAATTTTGGTCAACAGATCATTAATGGTCACCCACGCAGTGGCCAGCCATCAACAGCATTGACTCAAGAAAATATGAAAAATAAGCACTTCTTTGTGAAAAATGACAAATGTTCTGGTCTGAACAACGCAGCAGAAGCGGAGGTGTCCATCAGGTTCCTCAAAGCCATTCTTCAACAGCGTATTAACCCCTCGGAGGCCGGGCCGGTGCTCCGAGATTCCTCGCCGCGGGCCGGGGGGGGGGGTGTCTGAACCCCCCCCCTTCTAACTCGGCTCCTGGGCCACGTAGCGACACGCGGTAAGCGGCAATCGAAAGAACGTCCAACATAAGGACGAAAACACTTCGGTCATTTTTTGAGTCAGGTCAAAGGTCAGGTCACCCGAGGTCACCAAAGGTAAAATGTTGACTATTTCAACATTTTGGAAACTGCCGAGGGCTATCTCGGAAACCGATAGAGCTACAGCGCCGCAGAAAAGCGCATTCGATAGCCCTTTTACACCTTTCTGAGCATTGTTCTCAGATTTGACCTCAGGTTAACGGTTTAGCCTCCAGAGGGCAAAAACTCCAAAAATAGCCGTTTTTACGAAAAGCGTTTTTCGCCAATAACTTTTGACTCAAAAGAGCCATGACATTACTTTTGCCAGCATCGTGTTTCTCTCGTCGAGACACGTCGAATGAACTATAAGTTGACCTTAAAAGGTCAACTTGAAAGTTTGACCTCAGGTCAAGGTCATGACCTGACCGGAAAAGGTCATGTTGCATATCGGTCGATCCGCAACGCCGAGCCGAACACATCTAAGGCGTTTTCAGCGCTCTAGCACGTCTCTATCAGAATCTATTAGCGAAAAACTGTTAGATTCTGTTCATGACCTGAGATGACCTCGGGGACATAACGAGGGGTCACAGTTGCCATTTTGGTACCGACTTTGAATACCCGGCAGGACCCCTACTGGTTGACCCGACCTGACCTGACCCCACCCGGCCTAAATGCAAGAAGACATTATCTGTAATCAAAACTAACGTGATATTCGTCATCAGCACCCCGAAAAAAACCCATAGCAGCCACACTTTACGACGTTCTGACGTGCCCTGATTTTTCCGACTTCTGGGTCATTGACCTGACCTGGAAGGTCAAACAATGACCTAGGACCTTAAACTTGCGGTATCACCGGCTTCCTCTCGTCCCGGGCAGCACGCTCGTTTTTTCCTTCCGCGAAGGTCTAGCTCGATCAGGGGCAAAACGGCACGGGGGTCCAACGGACCCCCCCCCTCTTTATATGTTTGCAGCTGGCAAACCACCAATGCGGGCGAGGGTTAATGCACTGACAGGCCTGTGGTGCACCCGGGTCCCAAGGGGGATCATGATCCCTGGGACCCCCACCCCCTGGATCCGCCACTGCTATGGTCAGACGCGGGTCTAGGGGATCCGAAAAAGTTTCCTATAACCCGGGCGTTTGGTTAACGGTAGCGCAGGCGTCACCGATAGCTTCGGTGGTGTAAACAGTTAAGGTAGGTGTATTGTAAGCATATTGACAGATATGGTAGCACTGTTGAGTTAAATGACGTCATTGGCATATGAAAAGTCTCTAGAACGTGTCAAGCGGGACAATAGGATTCAGCCGGTTCCAGCGGGAAAAATTGGGATTCAGCCGACTACAGCGGGAAATAGTGTGACTCAGCCGACTACACCGGGACATAGTGGGATTCGGCCAGTCCCAGCGGAACACAATGGGACTCGGCCGGTCTCAACGTGACAAAGTGGGACTCAGTCGACTACAACGGGACATAGTGGGACTCAGCCGGTCCCAGCAGGACAAAGTGGGACTCAGCCGACTACAGCGGGACACAATGGGACTCGGCCGGTCTCAGCGTGACAAAGTGGGACTCAGTCGACTACAACGGGACATAGTGGGACTCAGCCGGTCCCAGCAGGACAAAGTGGGACTCAGCCGACTACAGCGGGACATAGTGGGACTCGGCCGACTACAACGGGACATAGTGGGACCCGGCCGATTCCAACGGGACACAAAAAGATTCGGCCGGTCCGAGCGGGACAAAGTGGGGCTCAGCCGAAAACTGCGGGACATAGTGGGACTCGGCCGGTCCCAACGAGACAAAGCGGGACTCAGCCGACTACAGCGGGACATAGTCGGACTTGGCTGGTTGATCCAGGGCCTCCTCTAAGGAATTTTCACTGGGGGGCCAGAGGCTCAGAAGCCAAACCTAGGGTACCCCCAAATCCGGTTTTCTCATCGGATTTAGGCCACTTATTTTTTATCACAGCCCTGATGCCATGATTTTTTTTTTATTTTGATTAAAAACAAAAGAAATGGTAGGCCACCTGACCCTATAGGGGAAGTTGGGGGAACGCCGAAGACTTTTTTTCTGACGCCCGTAGCACGCAAGGTAGACAACATACGCTATTCTTGTTGGCGTCATTCGAGAGGCCAGTCTTTTGCCTTTCAAACATACCAGGCGCATTTGATGAATTCGCATACCGTTAAGCGCACAAACTAAAAATATCAAAGAAGTGACTTTTTCGGCGTTGCCCCGGACTGCGGGGAAAGCCGAAAATGGGAGAAATGATCTACGGGGAATGCCGACATTGATGTTTTGCCATTTTATCTCAAACTTTATCCAGAATTCATCAAAGCTGACACACGTTTCAAGAGCTTGAGGACGCGGTGCACACTGGAAGTTATAATTGTGTAATATAATAAGAAAATGCCATGTAAATCATTCCTTATAGGTAACAGGCCGTTGTGCCGGTTGAAAGTGTAATTTGTGTGACTAAAAATACGCGTTGCTATGCTACAGCAGTAAAGTCCACGTAGCGTGCTTTTAACACGTGCGTAATCGCACGTTTTCGGCATTACCCCAGCCAGCCATACTTTCATTTGCAGGCCCATAACTTTTCAACGTGCTGTATAAATTTCAAATAGGCAGCACACTTATGCAAAGACATGCTAAAGATTACTTGACCGAATTGGCCAGACAAACGGTAGCATAATGAGTAAAAAATGCAGCTTCAAAGGCGCATGTAGTACAAGGGAAACGTACCTTGAAAACGCTCTTGGCGCCCTCACAGTCGAAGTATTCCGAATGACGACTCGTAACAAACATGCGATAATTGTAGTCACTTAAGCTTCAGAGCATCACTGACAGGTGGCATCCATGTCTTAAGGTTTTCGAAATATCTCGAATTTCGGCTTTGCCCCAACTCCGGCATTGCCCCAACTTCCCCTACCGGTGGATCCAGACCCGCACGGGCAGGATAACATTTGGGGTAAATATTCCCCGCAGCTTCCGAAATCGACGAAAATTTCCAGCTTTTCGAAAATGAAACCAAATGCCTTTATTTAAAAAAAAAATGTATATAAAACGTCATAGCAGTGCGTAAGGAATCTATCCGACCACAGAAAGTGTGAGGGTTTAGGTACCGATTTCCCAAACACTGGAAACCAACAGTTAGGTAGGTACCTGCCTGAAAACATCTCGCTATCCTAAAAAGCTACTTGCCTGAAAATGACTCAAGAAACAGGCCACAGGTCAATGGGAGTATATACGGCCTTGATGGGAATGAGGGTCATGAAACAGGGTTAATTAAATGGGGTAAATGGGGTGGGGTAATTAAATTTTCAGGAAATGCGTACTATTGAAGTAATCTCGAGAATACTAAAAGTTTTGCCACGCTGGGCCACTTTTTACGCGAGTTATTCACAAAAACCTGGGGGGGGGGGTCTATCTGGTCTATCTGACCCATCAATAAGTGAGAGGGCTTATCGCTGCTAGTCCCAAACACTGGAAAAAAAACTTTTATATCGTGCTAAATAGCTCAGCCGCACTCTTATTGACCATAGAAAAATTTCCTCTTCAAGAAAAAACCGTCTCCCGAAAAAAAAAACATAGTACTTCTCCGTGTTGAACCGTGAACGTTTGACTGATTGAGACGAGGGCGACTGTTCAGGCTGTTTCCTTCTCAAAGTGGTGCCCCGTTCGGGCTTCAGTCGGTGTTCGATTATAAAATCTGCAATATCTAAACTCATTCCGCGGTTCATCTGAAGCGGATCTGTAAAAAAAAAACTGTAGATAAAAACCAACGATATAGGGAAACTAAAATTAGTAACGTGGTGATCGTGGAGCTAACTCTGGATTGTTTGTTTGGATAAACCGTAAAATTTCCTCGTTTTTCTACGTGATTTGCTCAACTGCGTGGCCCCCCAGTGACGCGATTTCAGCTCCACTGGGGGGGGGGGGGGGGCAGAGGCATCACTGGGGGAGGGGGGAGGCGCGACTCCCCAGTTAACATGTTAGAGCAGGGGTCGGCAAATGGTGGGGCATGCCCCCTTTGGGGTTAATGGAGCCCTTTCGGTGGGGGTAATGAGGGATTCTGAGAAAGCCTATCTTTTTAGAGTTTGTAGCTCCAGTGATGGAGCCATCGTGACTGTTGCATCCCAGGGTTCAAAGATTAGCCCAGGCCAAAGGCACAGCACACATTGATTAGATACCAATTTTCACGTACCTGCTCGCCTCACCATCTCACCCCTCCGTACAGTCGTACAAAAGCAGCTGCAACTTTTAACCGTCGCCCGTCCGTTGGCGTTCCAACAGCCGCTAACGTAAGGGGGAGGAGTCGATCGGACCCCCGCGGCCTCTCGGACTCTGATATGGAGCTGTGCATAAAAAAAGACGAGCGTGCTACCAGTGACAATAGGAAGCCGCTGCTGCCCATTTTTAAGGTCCTTGGTCATTCCGTCTCATTCAAGAGGGCAATGATAAGTGTCGAGAAAATCGGGACCCGCTATAACTTCTTGAAGTGAGATTTTATGGCTCAAGATGATCTCCAGAAAAAAAGCTCATAAGCCAACAGTCATTATGGGTCCAGAGTAGTGATGTCAGTTACCGAAATTCGTGATACCGATACCAAACCAAATAACAACAATAACCATAGGAAAATACCAAAACCAAAGCAACTTCAGAAACTGAGGCAAATACCAACTTTTTACCGAATTCACAGCCTCTTTTACATTAGCAACGATTCACAATACCAACAAAATACCAAATGTATTAGCCTTGAAATACCAAATACCAAGTTGGTATTGGTTTGGTATCAGTATACCAAAAGTTGGTATCCGATTGACATCTCTAGTCCAGAGGCCAGTTTTACCAACAGAAAAATAGCCGCCTGCCGGAATTTTTGCCTAAAGATCGTTTCACATATGGAGCGTAAACGGTAAAGCCCTATCCGCTTACGAGCCCATCGCGTTTACGCTCCGTATGTGAAGCGGTCTTGAGGCAAAAATTCCGGCAGGCGGTTATTTTTTCTGTTGGTAAAACTGGTCTCAGGTCATGATATTTTCCGGGCTAATAAAAAAAAATGATGGGCTCGAGGGTATATCGTGATCCAATGCCTTTTACGTGAGCTTTTAACGAAAAACCACCCGCCGCCCCTATACGTATGTACGAGGATTAAATGGGATATAGCATAGGCGGCGGAACGGGGAGGGCACCGGGGCATCGTGCACCCTTTGATTTTTGCATTCTAACATTAGCCCTATGGGCGTTGCATGGAAAGAATGGGACCAAAAGTCGGCAGTGTCCCCCCCCCCCCTCCCCCTTAAAGGGACCCTCCCACCTTAACATTAGATTTGAGTTGAGATAGCCAAAATGGGGTCCCTGGCTCACAATTACCGGTTTCGGCACTCACAACATCGAGAAATGCCTTAAATCGGAAATATAGAATTTCAAAATTGCAGCATTTTGATTCAGAGGGGCTAATGCTTAGGAATACCCCTCTGAATGTGTGACGTCAGCGCAGATATCTAACGATTTTTAAATGTTTGACTAAAACGTTTTGTAGCACGCGGTGGTATATGCTATTTGCGCGCAACATCTGCCGCAAACGCCGCACTTCTAAAATAAAGTCGCTAGAAACAGCGGAGATCCCAAAAAAGTAAACAAAAGTAAAAGTCTAATATCTTGAAAACCGGTGAATATTTTTCGGTGAAATTTGGTAGATATTCGTTTTCGCTCTTTCTGAACCGAGCGACATCACTTTCATGCCAATTCATAAACTTTTTTGAAGGTGGGAGGGTCCCTTTAATTGAAGGTGTTCCGCCGCTACTGGGATATAGGTATTAAATGTTTTGTGGAGGAAGTGTCATGTTTTAAATTTGATGCATTGGAAATGCACAAATACCCAAAGAGTTCCAGGACGGTATGGAATTTCAGTAAACTGGGTTGTGTCAGCAATGGGGTCTGGTAGTTGGGGGTAATGGCCCTGCCTGGCGCCCAAAAAGGGGGCACGACCCCGAATGACCTGCCGACCACTGTGTTAGAGGATGTCCTGGGCTGGTCCCAGTGGAACAAAGTGAGACTCAGCCGACTACAGAGTCCCACTATGTCCCGCTGGAGCCGGCTGAGTCCCACTATGTTCTGCTATAGTCGGCTGAGTCCCACTTTGTCCTGCTGGGACTAGCTGAGTCCCATTGTGTCCTACTGGGACCTGCCGATTCTGACTTTGTCACGCTGGGACCGGCTAAGTCCCACTATGTCCCGCTGTAGTCGGTTGTGTCCTACTATGTCCCTCGCTGTAGTAAGCTGAGTCCCACTTTGTCCTGCTGGGACTGGCGGAGTCCCATTGTGTCCTGCTGGGACCGGCTGAGTCCCATTGTGTCCTGCTGTGTCCGGCCAAATCCCATTGTGTCCCGCTGGGGCCGGCCTAGTCCCACTGTGTCCCGCGGTAGGTAGTCGGCCGAGTCCCACAATGTCCGGCTGTAGCTGGTGAATCCCTATTTTTCCGGCTGGAACCGGCCAAGTCCCACTCTGTCCCACTTGACACATTCTAGACTTCTAGAGACTTTATTCATAATCCAATGACATCATATAATTGAACAGTGCTACCATATCTGTCAATATGCTTACAATACACCTACCTTTTCTATTTCTTCTTTCTATTTCTATTTCTATCTTTTCTATTTCTGTTTTCTATTTCTTACTTACTTCCCATGTGACACAAAAAATATATGATGATGATGATGATGATGACCTTGACTGTTTACACCGCTGAAGCTATCGGTGACTCCTGAGTCCTGCGCTACCGTTACTGGCATTTGTCTCTGAATGTTCAGGCCTTCTGGAAAACCCTAGTGACAATGGGTGTAACTTCCCATAAATATTTGTGGAGTGGAAATGCTTGCATCCCCTTTCGCAAAAAGTGCACCCCATAGGCCAGGGCCTCGTCTAAGGAATTTTCACTGGGGGGGCCAGAGACTGAAGGAGCCAAACCTAGGGTACCCCCAAATCCTGTTTTCTCACCGGATTTAGACCACTTATTTTTCATCACAGCCCTGATACCATGAATTTTTTTTTTTGAAAACTAAAAAAAAAATAGTAGGCCATCCGACCCATGCTTGTATACCTATTAGTTCATAGCCTCCTCACATTGCCCCATCAGACAATAATTATCACACTTCTCGTTGTTGAGCGTGTGTTTGAGTGGCAGTGCCTTGTCTAAGGAATTTGCATGCCGAGCCTTACGTCGAGGGCCCACACGCATATGTATTTTTTTGCGAACCACATCGGTTTCAGATGGGCCCCTCTGAGCGCTCGATGCCGATCTCTGAGGGCTAATGCCAACGTCTGGACCTATATTTCGGCCTCTATGGTAGCCCACACTGGTTTTATATGATCCATACCAGGCTTTAATGGTCAATCTGAGTGGAGACCGTATTTTCCCACTAGGGCCCCCTCAGACCAGATGCCTGTGTATCAACTTGGAGACTGATGGCTTCTCAGGTGGATTCTCCGTAATCGCCGTGGATCTTCAACACAACCTTAAGGTCGTCAGAGGCTATAAACTAAACAAAAATGAAGATTACCCCGTGTAGTAGTGCTTTGAGGCCCGTTGGGACCCTAAGTGGCTGGCATTTGCCCCCCAGGACTCCATGCCGACTTCTTTAGATAATCCAGCTGTCAGAGTTCCCGTCCCCACAGACAGACCACCAATCTGGCATCTGCGCCTGCGTACGACCACCCAGAACGGGAGCCTGCTTCATTACGATTAGGAGCTACTCTAGCCGCACACCGGTGACCGTCCAGCCAGAAGTTGGACGCCGCTAGCGAGGACGACGATAGGCAAAAACAAGAGATTGACGCCCCGAGGGGCGAAGACAGAAACAACAGATTGATACCTAAAGGAGAAATTGTTGCCGGTAGAGCCTTGGACTCCGCGTGGTGAGGGCACGCGTCTCGATTATAACAGTCCGGGTTTGAAGCGCGACATCGCTCGATCTTTATGACCCTCCTGGCGAGTACATGGTTACCTACGGTTGGTGGCAGGCCGTAGCCATTCGAAGTCAGTGAGGGGACCGGCCGTGTGCGGCTATGTGCATACGTTAAACTTTGGGCTCTAAATTCTGCCATAGATCACGAATTGCGCGATCGGAGGGTAGAGGGCAGGGCCAACGCAAAGCTCTGCTTAGCGGGGGCTCTGTACTTGTGAATCCTTCCATTCAAAAGGTTCGGACTAAATTTATGAAAAAAGAATATCCGGGACACGGAGTTGGGCGCCTGAAAAGACGAAATGTAACGCATTGCTGAGCGAAAAAAAAGGTTCAGGTAAACAAAATAAACACATAACAGCCCTAGGTAATTAGGTATTTCAATGTGCTCACATTGCATCGTTTCGTTTACGCATTTGTTTTTATGTGCACTGACGCCTCGAAATAAAAATTAGTTTGCCTTTTGGCTATTGCCGGCCCCCCCCCAGTAGTGACTTTTTGCCCTGACTGGGGGGGGGGGGGGCAGGTCGATGACTGCGGGGGTTTAGCCCCCCCAGTTAACATGTTAGACGAGGCCTTGCCATAGGCTTACTGGCACCCCATGCACCTAAGAGCCATTAGGAAAGTCGTCCCAGCGGCTGGTGGACGCCCCCAGCAGAAGGGCGACTCATTACAAGAGGAAAAAGTGCCCTGAAACAAAACAAATTGAAAAAGAAAGTCAAAGCTTACCTCGCTCATAACCATTTAGTGAAAATAAGCGAAATCGCGACAATCATTCACCCTTCCCTAACAAATTAATGCCGTATCAGTATGGCTTATGGACAACTCGCCCACACAATTGATGCCTCCGCACTGCCGCATTTTCATTCAACTCGCGCTCTTTTCTTTCAACAATACGAAAACATATCCGCTTTTTGATGACGTCAGAAGCTAAGTGAAATTGCCCGAACAACAAAGGTGCAATAATGGTGGCATAGAGGGTAAATAGAAAAACACTGCTGTGCAATAAAAGTGTAAGCCTTTAGTGCCCTGGTGTAAACATCATTACTCTAGCTGTCAGGTTGTTAACTTGAAAGACCATTTTTTCGTTTCCTTTTCGATAAACGATTGGTCGGAGCTGATGACATCATGAAAACATTCGAGCAGCAATCACCGATTTATCCATCTCCCGCCAATTTGTTGTGAGGTTTTGGTGCAGTTGGGTTCGTGCAGCGCATTTATGGCGCGAAAATATGGTCGCAGGTCGGTTGTCGATAGTAAGGGCGTATCTTGTAGATATCATGGTAAGAGCAGTCAAATCAAACTTGTAATGGCGTCGGCAGGAGAGCGATAAAACATCTCGTACTCTGTCTTGATTACCAAGCATAGCTTGCAACTCGCGTAATCACCGGTGTACCGCATTTCAATCACTGATATTCCAATGCGTTTGTTTACCTTACAAATATGATCAATCAGCGACATATTCTGATTTGGTGCGATGGAGAATGCAAGATAGGAGACTTAGAGCGAAGGCTCTGATCGTGATGGCCTTCAGCCTCCAGGTCCAGGCCCAATACACTGCTGTTTGACATTCCCGTTGAACTTTGCGGAGAATTTGTAACGTCCTCTGCAAAGCTATAATGAAGCAAAGCTAAATGGACACCCGTCCACGTTCGTGATCATCCCTCCTTCCCAAGGTATCTCCTCCCTTGCCTTTTGCCCCAGGCTGGGTCCGCCCGGTCCGCCAGCGTCAGCAGATTTGTTCCCTGCTGTTGGGCGCTGGTGCAGAGGCCCTTGGTCATTGGTGGAGAGTAGCAGAACAAGTACAAACTACTGTTAACGCCAGACCCCTTGAGACCCTAATTTTTCGCGATTACTTTTAAATGCGTGAAGGAATTTCAACCAAGCTCAGGACATGGCCGTTTCAAGACAGGCCGAAACTTTTACAATTTAGATATTTTATCGCCATTTCAATATTTCAGGCACTTGTCATTGACTCGTAATGTTAAATTTCGAGCAAGATTTTCATCCGGTGTGTAGAGGCTATCACCAGTCAGTCTGTGATACGTTATGACGTCATAGCTAAGCCCCGCCTCTGTGGTCTTGGCCTGCGGCGGTTTCGGGCCGGCGCGCGGTCACTCTCGCTGTGGCGGGGAGCGTGGACGGGCGACGGTCGAGCGGTGCCGAAAGCCGGCGGAGTTGTGCGTAGCGTCTTGGCTGACAGTGCCCAGAGAGCGACATGATGACTAAGGAGTCATAAATGCTCAATGCGCATTGCTTCTACAATGCTGATATGTTCGCTGATATATTTTTTTTATAAGCTGTAAATGACGAGCAGATGGCATATAACTGACATAAGGTTAGGAAATATTCACCTGTATTTAAAGCCTATGGCGTTGCAGATAATGCGATAATGGGATGTCGGATGTCACCAAGTAGCTGCCAATTTGTACATCGCTATGCAACCATCGAACAACGCAATAATAAGTTAATTGCCTGAGCTTCACATCATACGGCTCGCTCGTATTTCAAACAGATACCCTACATCGAAAATCGAATTTGTTAGGAATCGTTAACGTTTGTTCGAAGCACGACTGAGTAGTAGGTTGAGGAGTAATGGTCCTCTTGGTCCTATATACAAGAGTCAACAAGAGCCTAACATTTACTTGACCGTCTGCTGCAATTGACTCATAGCACGTGAAGCGTCAGCGAAATTCATAGTCCTTCACAGATGGCAGGGGTGTCGTTTGTACAGAGGTCGCTGATGGGCACGGGTCAATGCCGCAGTCGTGGGCGGAGCCTAATGTCATATGACGTAGAAAGCCTCTATCCAGGATGGAAAAACAGTTAACATTACGAGTCAATGACAAGTGCCTGAAATATTGAAATGGCGATAAAATATCTAAATTGTAAAAGTTTCGGCCTGTCTTGAAACGGCCATGTCCTGAGCTTGGTTGAAATTCCTCCACGCATTTAAAAATAATCGCGAAAAATTAGGGTCTCAAGGGGTCTGGCGTTAACAGTAGATCGCAATGCTCCAGAATAAAATGCGCGGATTTAGTGCCACGCCACGTCGCCTCATCAATTTATAGGGCCTAGCATTTGGACAAAACGCGCCCTGGCGTCTGTTACTTTTCGAACTTCCGAAAAGCCCGTGTTAATTAACAGCCGCAGCCCGCACGCGTCTTTTCGGACAATCTGAATGTTCCTCCTACACGACTGAAGCGGCATTCGTGAGCCATCCACGCCCCACCTCCATCGTTCGTTCGGACCTGAGCAGGCTGGCGACCCCTCGCACACATACTCATCCTCTGCACAGACAGCCCACCACCGGGAACAGCTCACTTCTGTGTATTCAACATGAAGTCATGTGACAGCAGGGCGCACGCGCCACGCCCGTTATAAAACAGTGGCCGAGCACCGTCTGGCTTCAAGACACGGCTGTCCTTCGTAAATGAAAGATGAGATGACAAGCACGAGACATTCTGACACCGACCCGGCACGACCGGCTGGACCACCGGCGACACTAGTAGGGGCGGTCGCGGTCGCGGCCGCCGTAGTCGCTGCGCATGGGCCCGCCGTCGCGCCCGCCGCGGTATCCGCCCCGGCCTCCGCGGAATCCGCCGCCGCCGCCTCCGTCCGCTTTGGGCGTCTGGCAGCGGTTACACTCGTTGCGCCAGGCAAAGTTGACATTGCTGCACTCGTCGTTGGGGCACTTCCAGTCGCCGGCTGCGCCTGTCGACAATGGCGCGGTTCAGCACCCAACTGATGGTACAATCAGGACATCACTGTGCTGAATAATGCTGTCCTTACATCGTAAATTTAGGTGACTATCCCGCATTGAAGACAGCAAGTCAATTTCCTTTCAGTGATGTACAGTCTGTCTTAAAGGTAGTGTGCCACCTTTGAAAGATTTCCCATTTTATTTTTCCTAGGATAAGAAGCTTCTGTTTTTACCTAATATCGCAAAAAATCAAAAATGGGCCTGGAATAGTGCCTTTTTCGCCTAAAAGTTTATCGGTTTTTAGATATGTATAACAACTGTAGTGGGCTCACCTGCAAACAGGCGTCGGGCAACAATCGCGAATGCGGCGCACTTGTGACAATAAGCAAAGGTCATTATAGTGTTACGACCATACGACGTACGGGAATGAGTTATCAGCTGTCTAATCGTAGACAACACAATGTCGAGCCTTAAACTGTAAGCCCGTATTGGTACTGTTTCTTTTATTTGGCTGTCGAACATTATTTATGGTTTGAAATATGATTTTATGTAAAATAATTGATATGAAAAAGCCGTCTTATAAGTTATGACCCCATTTCACCACACGCAAGTGGCAGAAATGACAATGATCAGCTGACGCATTTTTATTGGCCGAAGTCAGAGCGCGCGGCCCGACGCACCACGCGTATTTGGAAATTCCGACCTCGACGAGCATCAGAAGCCACCTAACAGGCGTGTTCGAAACCGCAGGAGATGATGATGAACGGGTTTATCGAAACTTGATTGGATGAGCATATCGGTAATAGCGATTCCAGTGTGTGCATTTATTGTTCATAGTGGTGTGAAATGTGGTTGGGGTACGACCGACAACCCGTCGGGGCGAATTTCGCACTGGGGTACTCAAAATTTGAAGAATTTAAGACGTTTCCATGAGTTTTGAAGGTATGGATAAGTTCTAAAAATCCGGTTCTCCTTATCTGGGCCATTAACTCCATACGGTCCAAGAAAGCTGGCACACTACCTTTAAAAGTACCGCGCAAAGTGACGTTGGATCCATCAAGCCGAGGAAGGGCCTGTTAATTTGAAAGTCACCGAACCAATTGACCTGGGGAATGGACGAGAATGTAAATTACTTCTGTGACTCAAATTTAGCAGGCCCTTCCTCGGTCACGCTTGACAGTGCGGGAGATTCCTAAAACACAAGAAGCCAGGATGGACTTGCATATATCCACAATTGTCATTTACTCTTGGTACTATAATCTAACAAACCTAAGAAAGAACGGATTTAAAGCGCAATCGCCATTGATGCACCTCCCTATCATATTCCTTAAAGATATCCGAAAGCATTTCTCTCACGACTTTTCACACAAATTTTCACCGAGCCATACATGTCCGTGATCAAAACACATGCAAAGTGATTTAGGCGCTCTAACGCCGTTCTTTTTTAGGTTTGTCTGACTATAGCGTGTCCATTGCATGTGTAGCTGCCCTAGTTGACTATATCGGACGATTAAAATAAAAAGTGCAATTATTTTCCTTAATCTTAAAGGTATGCTGATAAACAGAGTTCTGTAGTGTACGTAACATGACTCGGGCAACAGCAGGGCACTTTGGCCCGGTGCTTAACGAATTTTAGGAAAACTTCGCCTTCAGTGTCACCGCTAAGTCATAATCGAGTAAGCGGTTCTGTTCATGGTAGTTATATGTTACATTGTAATGCAAGTTCCAGGACATGACATCACCCACTGTCTTATAGTGTCTAGTTCCAAAGCCACGCAAGGATTTCAGGTTCAGTTTTTGTCCTTCTCGCTGGCTAAAACGCGAACTAGGTCGAGCAATGCACTTGGAGCCAAATCACCTAAGAAAAAAACTAGCAATCTTTATGCCATCGGCGAATAAAAAAAACGCAAACAATAAAAATGAAACTGAGCATGTAAAGTCGACTACAGAATGATGTTCCACTTTTCACAGGCAATTATTTGCCTGGAGTGGTAGGCTGTGCCGCATCACACGGGCTGAGTTAACAAATTATAGCTTTGTCCCAACGCTCACAATCGACACGCTTAATTGCGTGATAAACGGCACAACTTAGCGCTCCGGTCAACTGATAGCTTCTGAGGAGTGGAACATCATTCTGTAGTCGACTATACAGTAGTGGGCAGGCTGCGGAGGTGCTGAGGGTTGCTGAGGGTTGCTGAGGGTTGCTCACCGGGCGGTCCGCCGCCGCCGCGGCCGCGGCCTCTGAAGCCACCGCCGCCGCGTCCGCCGCCGCCGCCGCGCGACCTGTCCGTGCTGGTGCGACGCTCTGCCATCGACACCTTAATGGTGTTACCGCGGAACTCCTTGCCCGAGAACCAGCCGATGGCTGACCGGGCGGCCTCGATGTCCTCATAGGTGACCGTGCACTCGCCCTTGTTCTGGCCAGTCATCTTGTCCTTGTACATCCAAATCCGCGGCTGTCCGGTCCGCTTGTCCGGCTGGGAACACAGGGAAATTGCTCACTGACGTATCGCAACCATTTGGCACGACGGTAACACTAACAGTATCGAGCACGCTATCACCATGCAAGCACTGGGTGCGTGAACAGCTGGATTTGGCGGTGGCTGACAGACTGGGTAAGTACCTACCTTGATGCGTCCAATGGAGCCGAAGAAGTCGGCGATCTCCTCCTGTGAACTGTCAGGCGGCATGCCGGACACGAAGATGGTGTCCTCGAAGGTCTGCCGGTAGCCGCCGCCACCGGCGTCGTCATCTCCGTACCCACCTGCGGCAGCGCGCGCCGCCGTCAGCGGCCGGCCGGAGCACACCGGCGCGCCCGAGCACGGGCCAACACTCAACATCGACGCAGCAAGCACATCGCACAATCCGCATTTCACAGTTTGCTGGTTAGTGTCAACAAGAGACGTGTAGGCCCTCCGTAGTCAGAAAGCCGTTGACGCCATGAAAACCTCTTCTTGCCGGTCATTCCTAGTTCCTACACAATGCGGGATAACAATGCACTGAACTAGACTACATATGCAGCTCCATCAGTGATCAAGCTAACGCCTTGATCGTCCACTCTCGGCATGTTCATCTGCATCCAGCCTCTGTTGCTGCATGTGCCGGTCTTTTGCACACGGACAACATTGTCACTATTGCTCTTAAACCCATAGACCACGCATAGATCACCTTTTTTTTAATAAAATCACTTACCAATGTGTAAAAAAAACTACTTCAGACATCATTTCAGCAGGAATGAAAGTCGTCGCCCACGAACACGCGGTATTGAGAGCCGGTTTCACGTACTTAGACGTACATCATCTTCCGTATTTAATGACCTGGTGTCTTTCACAGGTGTTGCTGCTCGCATTTTAGAGTACCGCTGCATGTGTACGGGCGCATGGATGTCAAGAAGTAACCAAAACTAGCGCATCGACCAGCCGCTAACCAACCATCAGACCTGGCACGGACACAATCGCGCCGGTGAGCCCCACTGCGTGCTCACCAAAAGGGTACCCTGAACAGACCAGAACTAATGCATGATGAACATTGTTAAGATGATGGCACGCACCAGCCGCTGTTGCAGCTCGGGGGGGGGGGGGGTACGAAGCGCGTCGACTGCGGGGCAATTAGCGACAGCGACAATACACAATGATCTAAACTGAGTGGAGGTCGCTTTTCAGTTCGAAGTAATCACGAAGGTAAAGCGCTGACCTAGCAAATAACGCAGTGCGATACTATACACAATACAGATTGCATAACCGCTTTAGGTTGGCCGCTTGAAGGAAGGGTAGAAACGTAGCATAAGCCAGCACGTCCCTCTTCTAGGCGGCGAAGGTTCCACGGCAGCGCCTCATAACGCCCACGCCACAGGTGATCTGGACCAGGAGCAGACCAGTCGCGCGCGCAGCGCCGCCGCTCATTCTAGCGCAAACGCCATCCCAGACCATCTGTTCCCGTCCTCGGTGCATGTACCAAGTACCTACATCTTCCTTTTTCATACACATGCGTGAGCCTCCTTTGCAATCACCCGTCTCTTTAGCCTCCTTTGCAATCCGACTGAAGCCCGACTTTTCATAACAGTATGACCTCTGGTTGATCTCGACATAAACGCTGGTCTTCATACAACGCATCTTCTTAAGCTTCTGGATCTTATAGTTTTCTTCTTATCTTGAACGATTGCGCCGATTCTCATTAAGAAATCTCCAACTGCATTTTCATTATGTAGCGTATATCCCTAAAATGCTGTGAGGGTGTACGAAAGTTACTGCAGAGGACTTACACTACATATAAAGTGTGACTGCTACGTGTATGTAACCACCTTTGCGAATATGCTGCATTGAAATGAGTATGCAATGCCTTACAGTCTACACCAATATCCATAGCCAATGAAAAATCTGCATTAAAGGGAATAGTTCACCAGCATAATTTTTGACGGATTTTTTCATGGTTTACTTCTAACATTGTTTCAATACCTTAATGTTTCGGAAGGGATCCACATTTATTTTAGCTGACACCAGTTGAGGCTCCCGCTGCGGCACAGCGACGCTCCGACCGCCGCCGGCGAGCAGGAAGCTGCCCTACAAACGCCCTCGGCCAGGCGAGCCCCGCGTGTCTTATACAGACATTATCTCACGAACACAAATACCTAGAACTGTTCTGGTGAACTACTCCCTTTAGCAGCAAGGTAGACAAATTTGCAGTAAAAATTAATTATAATGAGATATAGATAGAGCGAAGATCCTCTGCAGACACGAGTGAGCAGCAGCTTGTATACACAGACCCAATATCCCCTCTCCGGATGGAGCGTGCTTCACCTGTAGGTGCGCGCAGTGATTACCTTTGTTATAGCCACCTGGGCCACCTCTGTAAGAAACAAACACCACAGGGTGAGAGGCTTGCTGCGCGGCTCCGCCGGCGCCGGCGGCTGCTCCGTGCTGCTGGGCGGCGCGCCGGCCCGGCCCGGCCCGGCCCGGCGACCCTCTCAGCTGCTGTGTGGGGGCTATCGTGGCAGCTGCAGCTGGCTGGTGAGCGTGGCCTGCTGGCCGCCTGACACCCTTTTCCGGCTTTGTACCGTACCCGGGGCACATTTGTACCCACATTTTTACCTTGTTGATAATAGACCTCGCTGAACATTTTTACGGCGTACGTTTGACGCTTTGACCACTGCAGAATGTAAGCATTCGTTTGCCTGTGAACGCTCCATGTGGTAGGAATACAAATAGCCAGTGCCCTCTTATCCGTACCGATTCGTTGGCGGTTCACTGCTCTTTACAGCTTGAGGTTTGCGGTACGCACTTTGTTGCACCATTCGTGTGTTGAAATGATACCATATTGTGGATTTCACATACAGGGCGCTAACAGTGAAAAATCAAACTGCTCTACCTTCATTTACCATAAACGCTCATGAATTAATAATTGTTAAACCTAGGAACCCTTGGGACCTTTCAAGATGTTAACCCGCGCCCCGTATGGCTATCGGCGGACCCTACCACCCGTAGGGGGGACCCCCACCCCTAAGATCTCTGAAAGTTACCGGCCGATTTCCAAAATTCAAACGGCGTTGGATAGCACTACCACGGAACTACCTTGTGACCCAATGTCATTGACCTCCGTCCAACCGATGACGTCACAGGTCAGGTCAAAGGTCGAATTTTCACCGTTTACAGGCATTTCAATAAATGCGTTGCAAAGTCGAGTAAAAGGCATGTTATTGAAGATCATCGATGGGGGAATTATCCGTAAAACACATATTTTGCTATTTGTGGTCACTGATACCAGGTCAGGTCAAAGAGGTCAGGTCACTGAGGGTCACAATATGAAAGCGTCGTGTGATACATGTTTTATGGTCCATTTTACATGGAAAATGAGATTACGTGGGTCAGAAAACCTTTGGGGCCAGCTAAGCTTATGTTCTGGTGAAGGTCAGGTCAAGCTCAGGTCAAATTAGGTCAAATTTCAAAGTTGACATTTTTGCATAAAATTGGTATCGATTCAATGCAGCTCGTCACGGGGAGACAAATGGTTTTGCGCTACGTAGTCTTACTTTTCGATTTTGGCGGGTCAAAATGCAAAAATTTAAAAATCCGAGATAGCAGTTTTATAGCCCTGTCAATTCTACACCTTTTGTCTTGAAATTTTTTTCTGTATCTTCAAAGCTGTAGGCCTGACAGCTCTTCCCGCGCCTTTTTTGGGTCGAAAATGGCAGAACATGACGTCATTCTGACGTCATTTGCGGTCACCCTATCATAGCCTCTGGAAAATTTTGGTCACAATATGTAAAATTGATGCCCGGAGGGGTCCTGCAAGTTTGGTGCCTGCAGTCATTTAGGAGATATCGACGGAAAAGGACAGGGGGCCGTTTCGCCCCCCCCCCCCCCTCCCTACGGGACGCGGGTTAACAAATCAACTAGACTTTAATGGTCTTATAATAATGTAAGGTCAAATGAGCAAGAGGAGCGCCTACGTAAGCCCAGCTGAGACAACGTTGAGGTACAAGTCAGTGAAGTGTGCCACCCGATCGCCCCACAGTGGTAGTCACCACCTTGTTTGAACATACCTGTGGACACAACATCGCACGTAATGACACCAACGATCGAGCAGCGAGCGGTACCGACAGCTATCAACTCCCTCCCACCCGGCAACACTCAGCTGCTGCAAACTCCAGTTTCCAGAAAACTTGCAGCACTTCATGACCGATAATCCAGTGAAACTGACAGTTGACACCATGCCTTACTTCAGCCTGCACGGACAGCATTGACTCCTAACAATCAGTTAACCTGAATGCGCATAAATCAACTATACAGGTAGTTTACACCCAGCTTATTGTGACAATTGACAATGCTGTTTATAATACACGTTAACGTAAGTTATAATACAAATCCATCAATAATATATTTTTAATGGAAATTTTGTTCACCAATAAAAATACAAGACTGTTTTCTTGCACATACAATTTGTATGAAATGTAAACATATCATTATCACTGGTGCAAAGCTAATATTCGGTGCACCGGTGAATGATGGCTAGTAAAAAAGAAATTATTTACTACAAAAAGTGTTGACCTAATGAAGCATTCATCAATTTGTAAAAAAAAAAGAATAGAAAGCAAGGCCACACAGATGCCTACCTAAAATAAGACTACCTTGCTTCGATCTAAGCAATGGCAAGGTTGGCTGACCTGCATTTTCTGGATGAGCACATTTAAAGAGACTACCCCACCTTGAAGTCATTGAATCGGCCATGGTCGCTCCGACATTCAAGCGCATTGTTCAATATTTGCTAATAGTTCTTCACATTTTTTCTCAGCTATTCGACTTCGGGTCCGTGATGTCATAAAGGTATTGCTTTCCATGAATCTGGCTACACATGGCACAACAATAAAAAGAAAATTACTAATGATATAACGTTCGTGTGTATTTTTTTTCTTTTTTTACTTTTAGTAGGACTTTCTACCACCTAGAGTCATATTGACGTCGCAAGTACTAATGCCAATAATGCCCATAAGCTATTGTAGATCTTCTAAAAATCAATATTTTTTTGTTGAAATGCGGCATTTTTTTATAACGTCACTGATATCAACTCTCATACTGAAAGAGATGAGACCTAAGAAGGCCTACATTGCAATAAATGTCAGCGATTTTCTTGAAAACCAAGAGGATGAGAGTCAAATGAATATCACGGCCCGGACTTCCTTGCCTTCCATGTCGGCAATACCTACTCGATTTTAATATAAAAGTGGGGCAGTCCCTCCAATGGCGCGCCAGAAATGCATCAGGCCAAAAAGAAAACATACACAGCAGGAAGATAGCACTGCACTGCTCACCTGTCGTATCCGCCGCCGCCGCGGCCTCCGCGGTAGCCGCCGCCACCGCCGTACCCGCCGTCCCGGCCGCCGCCGCGGTACCCGCCGCCGCCGCCCTCGCGGTCGTAGCCTCCGCCGCCCCGGTACCCGCCGTCCCGGCCGCCGCCGTAGCCGCCCTCATCGCGGCCGCCCCGGTAGCCGCCGCCGCCGCTGCCGCCGTAGCCTCTGTCCTCGCGGCCGCCGCGGTAGCCGCCGCCGTCGTCACGGCCGCCGCGGTAGCCGCCGCCGCCGCCGTAACCACCCTCATCGCGGCCACCACGGTAGCCGCCGCCACGGCCGCCTGCAAACAGAGCATTCAATTCAAACAATAACGACCCTGAACAGTGAACACATTATTCCATCACACTGCAAACAGCATCATTCGTGTCGAACTTTATGCACAAAGAAGGCAAAAAAAAACGTGTGCAGGTACCCAATGCACTTAAATGGTACCATTTCCCTTGGAGGTTTTATAGCAATCGCTAGGAACGCTAAGCAGTAGTGGTGCCAACCGGAACTTGAACACCCCCCCCCCCTTCCAACTCGGCTCCTGGGCCACGTAGCGATACGCGAAAGGCGGCGTTCGAAAGAGCGCCAAAAATAATGACGAAATCACTTCGGGCACTTTTTTGGTCAGGTCAAAGGTCAGGTCACCAGAGGTCATTGAAGGCGAAATTTCGCCGATTTTCAGGTCGAATGACGACAATTTCCAGGAAGCCAACGCATAACTCGGGAACCAACAGAGCTACAGCGCCGCGGAAAAGCGCATTCGATAGCCCTATTAACGCCCTTTCTGAGTAATTCTCTCAGATTTGACCTAGCGTCAACGGTTTTGCCTGCAGGGGGAAAAACTGCAAAAAAATCCGATTTTTTCGGAAACAGTTTTTCTGCAACAACTTTTGACCCAAGCCTTGTACGAGCTTAGTGTTACCGGCATCCTGTTCCTCTCGTCAAGACACATCGAATGAACTGTAAATTGACCTTGAAAGGTCAACTTGAAAATTTGACCTCAGGGCCAGGTCATGACCTGACCGCAAAGGGTCATGTTGCATATCAGTCGATCCGTATCGTCGAGCTGAAAATATCTAAGGCGTTTTCACCGCTCTAGCATGCCTCTATCAAAAGTTATTTGCGAAAAACTGTTAGACACCATTCGTGACCTGAGATGACCTCAGGGGCATAAATAGGGGTCACGGACACCATTTTCATGTTCAGTGTGTCTAAACCACTTGGAATTCAGTGTTTGGGAGTGTTTATAATGTTTTTCATCCAAAAGAGGCGCATTTCAATGTTTTCCATCGACTTATAATGGGGAGGTCGCAAAATTGACCTGACCTTAGGCCACCGATATCAAAATTCCGAGATAAACATTTTATAGATACTGTTGCCTTTATCAATCGCTGAAAGTTTCAAAGCGATCAGTCACTCGGTTTAGCTATGGCAGACATTGAAACTTTTTATGAGGTGAGGTCACTTCAAGTGACCTGGTGACCTGACCTTGAATGACCTTGATCTGAAATTTTCACATGTGTAGAATTGATGTATGATAAGGTGTACCAAAAACGGTGGCGCTCCGCGCCGCCGTTTTTGAGATATTCGCGAAAAACCACAAGGGGGGTGTTCAAACACACACCCCCCCCCCCCCCAGCAGGGCGCGGGTTAATAAAGCAAATGAACAGCAACGGCGACAAAATTCCGCGTTCAGGAGTGCCCGACCTCACATTAGTCCACTTCGAGCACTTGCCCTTCACAACTACTCGCTGTCTCGTGTCAGACAGATGCGACTGAACCAGGCGAGAGCTCTATTAGAAACATGAAACGAGTTTTTGAGCTTGTAAAGACGGAATACATGTATGATTAACACCTTGGAAAGCCGAACTGTAATCAGTATAAATCACACCCGTTATGTGCCAGTATCAATTAACAATTATCAGTTATGCGCCGATTTATAAAAGTCAATCAGGAAAATTTTCGAGATAATTTTGCTTTTGGTGACTTCCAGTGACCTCAGCGATCACCTGAACATGAAATTGCCTGAACAGCCCTGGAAGATCAAGCAAGATATCTGTTTTTCCACGTTACTAGCTTTCCTTGTTTCCGAGATAACCCGGTGGGGTCAAATAGCCCCCCCCCCCCGGCCCCGTTTTGGCAAAATTGACTTACACCTCCAATAAATTTATCCATAAAAAATAGACTGCATACATACCATATCTGTCATCAGACGAGTATCCGCCACTGGCTGCTCTTCCTCCTCCTCCATAGCTCCCTCCATAGCCTGAAATTTACATGACAATCAGCATTTGATACAGCAACAAAACAATGAACAATGCTACCGCCTAATAACAGTGTTCTACAATTGGACTTTGGTTGAGTGTGCCGATGTTAAAAAAAAATCCTAGGAAGAGAAAAGAAGGAAGTAATGACTTATTTTTGCAAAATGATGTAATGCCAATTTTTATGCCAACTGATAAACAAGGATTTCAAATTTTCATGTCAGGATCTTGACAGGATATGTGACACAAAAGGATGTGGTGCATCAACTGTCAAGTGACATGTAAACTGGCTGTTCAAATACATGAAACTTTTTTCAGAGAGGAAGTTAAGTTGGTCATTCATATTTTTTGGATGAAAATATTTTCCCCATTAGATGTGATTTGCCACCAAAAAGTTTGAAAAATGGAACACTGCTTAATAATGATCCCAATCATGGTGCTTAGGTACTGCTGGTCATGGAAAAGGGGAGATCAGGGCGCTGTTGGGTCGCCCTTTTTCTGTCAGCTGGCTGCCAGCCTGATGTTTTTCTTGACTTCTCATTGGTTAAATTCAGGTGATATGTGCGGTTGACAGGTGAAAGGACAACAAGCGCTAGCAATGAACCGTTGATAAAAACGGCGACTGTACATCGTATTGAGTGTAACGAAATTATATACGCCATACAGACATCTTTCTTTCCTCTGGAATTCAGAAGCAATACAATTCGGTGCTTTTCCAAGTAAATGGCGAAGTACTTGTATGAACAGCATCATGGCATATATTTGTTTTGTTTTAAAGATAGCCTTATGTTCAATGATCGCGAAAAGCGAAAGATTCCAAAAATAATCAAACAAAACAAATGAGAACACATTTACGAAAGCGCTGAAGTATTCCAGCCAATGGGTGCTCCAGCACATTGGGTTTGATGTGGACCGATGCGTCTTGACCTGCGCCTACAGTTGGGCGGTGCTGGTAAATGGTGGCTCCTCACTCGGCTCCTGTTGAACAATAACCCACGGATTTCCGATGGGATTGGGATCGGGAGTTCTTCCGAGCCCTAGCCCGTTAGTCCAGAAAGATAGCAGGATCTCTCGGCATCACTTCTCCTTTTCACAGGGACGTTGAGCTGGCTCGCAGCCTCTCATGAAGACAACGTGGCTGGAATCAGGCATCAGTGGGAGTTTCAGAAACTCCCTTGCCACCCAGCTGAGCACTTCCAACCATTCGTCGGCCAGGATGTTGCTCCGGTAATACTCATCGTTGATGGTGGTTTTCTGACTTTCTGTTAGTGATGTCAATTTCAGAAAACATATGTCCAATGTCTGTCCAATGTCCGATACTTACGTCGACCGTCCGTCCAAAAATGTCCAAGCCAGCCATTTGTCCAAAGATATCAGACATTTACGCAGTAGTTTACACTCAACACCGTTATTTAATTTGCTTTCAATGTATCGTTACCAGCTCAAAAGTGGTAATCATATCGAAAGCTGAGCTTTCTAATAGCCAATCAGGAATACAGCGTATGAGAGGTGGCTCGGTTTTCTACAACATATATTCCGTTTTTTTTCGAAAAGTCAAAAACTTTGTGAAAAAAAATGTAAAAATATAAATTTTGAATTTAATTATATAAAATTTTCGTCATTTTCAAAATTTCGAAAATCTGTGATAGCAGTTTGATAGCATAGTCTATTCTGAGTCCTCTCATGCAAAGAAATTGGATCTAGCTTAAAAACTGAGCTCTTGGGAGCGATTGCCGTGGTTCAATGTTTTGCTTCGAAGTCGGCCGAACATGACGTCACTCTGACGTCATTTCCGGCCGACCTATGGTAGCTACGAAGTTCAAATTTTATCACAAGGTGTCAAATTGATGCAGCCGAAGGTACTGAAAGTTTGGCGTCGATACGTCAAGCGGTTTGGAAGTTATTGCAGAAAAACGGGAGGGGGGCTATAAATAGCCCCCCCTCGTGGGGCGCGGGTTAAGGGACAGTTTTGAGGTGTTTTGTCATGTAACTCAAGAAGGGTTGGAGATAGAAGCATCAAATTGTCATCATTTTATGTGGAATTTGGGGCTTTACATGCCTGCCACATTAAAGTTTTTAAGATTTATACCTGCATATTATTTTTTATTATTTTTCATCACTGTCCCTTAGCACCCACATGACGTGGGGTGTTAAGGGACACCTATATTATTCCACGAAATGGTCATCAAATGCTCACAATTGGGGTGTGGAAGGGCACACAATTTATTTATTCAAATGTTTTGCATATTCTGTCACAAAACAAGTCAGGTTCATTCACCACTAATGACCTTTTTAGCCAATTACGTGTAATGCAGTTTACGCCATAGAGATCTTATATACATAGAGATGACATGCACTTAAAATCGTGGCGATTCAGTGGGTCTTTTTAAGGAACTTATTTTCAGCCAGTAGCGTGCCAATATGGCTGAGGCATTGTTAGTCTGAAGAAATTATTACGTAACGAGCGAAGCAAGCGTAGTCTTTCGTAGATTAACGGAAATTTCTGAGTATGAGCGGCCGGCCGGCCGTGGTTACGCTTTTGCGAGGCTTATATCTCAGCAACCACTTGACCGATTTACATTCGATGATTTTTCTAGGGTAGCTTCATTCCTTCTACCAAGTATTGGACTATTCTCGATGCATGTGGGTGACCGCTTATGCAGGTGCCACGTGCAAAACGAAGAGGTGTCAGTTTTGCAATTGTTGCAATATCTTGGTAACTACTTGGCCGTTTGCGCTGAAAGTTGGTATGTAGGTAGGCACCCACTAGGCAATGCATATCCATGTGTCACAGTTGGGGTGCTGCTGCACGTGCGCACGTGCAGGGGTCGATTCCAGATCTCGAGAACGGCTGAACCGATTGTGCTGAAATTTTGTACATGGTTAGGGACCAGTTAGTAGGGTGCCGTGCAAAAGTCAGTTCGGACCCATTTTGCACGTGTGCACGTGCAGGGTGCCGCTTCCAGATCTCGAGAACGGCTAGGCCGATTGCGCTCAAATTTGGCACATCGCTAGGGACCGGTTAGTAGGGTGCAGTGCACAAGTTAGTTGGAGGTGTCCCTTGCAAATTCGCTTGTCCCAAGGCTAAAAGCATTCTCTCTCATTCAGGCTCTCATCAACCCAGCAGGCGGTGGACCTTCCGGCCACCATCCGCGCGGTGGGGGGGGGCATTTTTTGCCCCCCTCCCGTATCTCCGAAACTACTGGACGGATCCGTAACATTCAAACGATGTTCGATAGCCCTGTCAAATTTGTCGATGGAACTCCAATTTCATTGACCTCGGGGTCACCGATGACGTCACAGGTCAGGTCAAAGATAAAATGTTTTGCGTACGTTAAAATAGGGCGTACGTTGCCTAGTATATATGTTACTATTAGAGGTCATTGATAATACCATGTCAGGTCACAGGTCAGGTCACCAAGGGTCAGCACATGAACCAACTTTACTATTTACTAGGGTTGTGTGATTCATGTTTTATGGCCCCCCTGACATGGTCCCCCCCCCCAAAAAAAAAGTTACAGGTCTAAGGTCATTTGGGTCAGGTTCATGGAATTTTCAGGGTAGGTTCCTTGAGATTTGGTCAAGTTTGGCGCTTTCGGTCAACCGTCGTGAAAACGGCTGTTCTGAACCTTTCTGAGCACGGTGCAAGCTCAAATATACATATGTTGCATGTTCCCATTCAATGACACATTAACCCTCGCCGGACCTATTGGTTTTCTACATACGCGCCGGCCGGGGGGGAGGGGGTTGGTTGGTACGATTTCCCTCGCCGTTTCGCCCCTGATGAAGCTAGAGCGTCGCGGAAAAAAAAAACAAGCGTGTGCGCCGTTACAAGACGCAGGTACCTACTGGTACCCGATTTTAAGGTCTCTTGAAGTCAGGTCAAGTGACCAAGGGCCAGGGTTCAGTTTTTCATAACTTCGCAAAAAAAAAAAAAAACGGTCGGAGAGCCGCGATTTTGGCATCATCGTGTTCGCCTCGCTCAGGCGCGTCGAATGATATACTTTTTGTTCGGGTGAGGTCAACTTGAGGTGTTGACCTCGGGTCAAGGGCAGGTCAGCTCCCCCAGATCACGAAACTGGTTGACAGAAGTCATGTTACATATTACTCGAATCGGCAGGTCTTCCTGAGTTTATTGGTGGCTTTCCCGACTCGCTAACTCAATTTGATGGGGAGTTATTGATGAAAAACTCTATTGACCCAAGTATATAACTGCAATGAAAACCATAAGCCTCATGCTAATAATTATATTAAAAATAGGGCCAAGAAAATAAGACATGCTGGGCAAACTGACAAACTGACTTTTGTCAAACCGTCTTACGGTTTTCATTGCAGTTATATATGTAATCATGAGCCTCAAAACCGCGCTTTCTTTAATCAATGACCCAAGTGACCATAAATGACGCCACGCAATGTCAACAATGCAAAAGTGAAGCATCGGACCTTGCAAGGCGTGAAAGAAATCACGATTCCATGTGCTGGAGACAGTTTGAGATAGTTCTCGGCGCTAACATAGCAGTTTTCATTTTTCCCCATTGACTTATACCTAATGGTGAGGTCACGTGGCCGACCTGACCTCATGTGATTTTTAGGGAAAATCCGAGATATATGTACAAGTTGTGAGACCTCTGGATGATACTACATCCTGTAAGTTTCATCTCCCTGTGAAAGTTCCTCTGGCACTGACGGCGTTGCGAAGTTGCGACATCAGGTTCACATATGACGTCACAGGTCAGTGACCTGACCTGACCTGAAAATGCGGTTGGTGTCACAAGATGCGACTTGGATCAAAGGTCAGCTATGCCAAGTTTCAGCTCTCTATCGCCTGCGTGTTCGGAGCTATCGTGAAAAAAACCCTATAGGGAGGCGCCCCCCCCCCCCCCCGTCGGACGGCGAGGGTTAATGATACATGCAGTACCTGATACGAGCATAAGGTTAAAACATGCCTAATATCATTTCAATAATAACGCTCGAAAGCGTCACAGCTAGACAAAAAAGAAAT